GTCTCAGCCTCTCGGACCATCAGCACCGGTTCCTCCCAAGGCTGCGTTCTTTCCCCTCTGCTCTTCTCCCTGTACACCAACAGCTGCACCTCCAGCCACCAGTCCGTCAAGCTCCTGAAGTTTGCGGATGACACCACCCTCATTGGACTGATCTGGTGGGGATGAGTCCGCCTACAGGTGGGAGTCTGACCATCTGGTGTCGTGGTGCAGTCAGAACAACCTGGAGCTCAACACTCTAAAGACAGTGGATGTAGCGGCTTATACACAACAAAAACTATCAAAAGCCGCAGCAGGCTAAGACATGAGGAGATTTATAATCAAGACGCGTCGCACTAGAGTATTTTATGGTCATGTTTATTACTCCTGGCTCACCAGCAGAAGCACGCCAATCACTTCCTCGATAGATGTCTTTCAGAGGATCAACAGTGCATGAAACTTTGTTATGACAATAATTACCCCAGAGCCGGTGACGATGACGATGACGGTCAAAGGATAGTTTTTGTCCCATGCTCACCCTGCAGCCATGCTCCAAACAATCTGCCGAGCCCCACAGGTGAACAGACACACGCTAATATACACACACCACGCCCCCTTATGGTGTCGTAGATGCAAATGACGTCACCCCACACATGCACATACCAACAATGTGGAAGAAAGGAAGAAATAATACAAAAGACTAATCAAACCCAATGTATGGCTCCTACAGTGGAGATGGTTGCGGATTTCCGGCAGAACAGAGCCCCACCCTCCCCCATCACCCTGTGTGACTCCCCCGTCACTATTGTGGATTCCTTCCGTTTCCTGGGCTCCATCATCACCCAGGACCTCAAGTGGGAGCTGAACATCAGCTCCATCACCAAGAAGGCTCAGCAGAGGTTGTTCTTCCTGAGGCAGCTGAAGAAATTCAACCTGCCAAAGACGATGATGGTCCACTTCTACACGGCCATCATCGAGTCCATCCTCTGCTCCTCCATCACCGCCTGGTACGCTGCAGCCACAGCCAAGGACAAGGGCAGGCTGCAGCGTGTCCTCCTCTCTGCAGAGAGGCTGATCGGCTGCAACCTGCCGTCCCTGCAGGACTTGTTCGCTTCCAGGTCTCTGAAGCAGCTAAAAAGATTGTGGCCGACCCCTCTCACCCCGGACAAAAACTGTTTGTGCCCCTTCCATCTGGCAGGAGGCTGAGGTCCATCAGGACTAAGACCTCCCGCCACACCAACAGTTTCTCCCCGTCGGCAGTCAGGCTCATCAACAGAGCCAGTCCCCCACTGACTGACTATAACATTCCACCGGTCACTCCCCTCCACACTGCACAATGTCACTTTAAATGCAATTCATCACTTTGTCGTCACTCGTCACTTTGTTACTTGTCTGTTACTTGTTCGCTAGTGCACTTTATGCTTAATATTTTTCTTTTTAACTTTTTTTAATATTTAACATTTTTAACTTTATTCCCTTGTTTTATACTAACCCATAGCCTTATTCTACTAACCCATTGCATTAGCATTTCATTCCACTTTATTTTATTACTTGTGCACTGTTGTCTTGTCTGTCCACTGTCGCGCACTAACCGCCAAGACAAATTCCTTGTATGTTTGACATATTTTGGCAAATAAATGTTTCCTGATTCCTGATTATTCATCTCGGCTTTTGTTGTTTCTGTACTTTTTAAATTAATTTAAGCTCCTGCAACTTCTGTTTTGTTTTGCAATATTTCACATTTATTTCAGCTGTTTTAATTTCTGCTTTTTCAGCAAATCTATTGAAATTCCTTTCAGCTTCTCCCATTTCTGTATTTTCAGTAATTTCAAATTAATTTCAGCTTTTCTAATATCTGTAATTTCAGCAAATGTATTCAAATTCCCTTCAACTTTCTGTATTTTCAGCTATTTAAAAAATTCTGTTCAGCTTTCAGCTTTTTGCATTCCAACGCATTTTCAGCAGGAAATGCTTTTTCTAGTTAGAGACCAACCCCCTATTAGGAGCCACAAACTGCCCAAAACCAAATTACCAGTAATATGTTGTTCACACACGTTTGTTCATGTAGGTGAGTCGTCGTGGCGCAGGGGTTAGAGAAGGTGTGCTGTGAAGCACAAAGGTTGGTGGTTCGAGTCCAGGCTGCCCCATGTTCCATGTCGAAGTGTCCCTGAGCAAGACACCTAACCCCTAATTGCTCCCCGGGCAAAAATGTGAAAAAGCCACCATGGGTTTAAAGTGTAAGTCGCTTTGGATAAAAGCGTCTGCTAAATGACCTGTAATGTAATGTAATAATCTAGCAGAGATTTGATATGCGTCAAACTTAATTTCCACACAGCCGTTGTTTAAAAAATCCCTTTATTGATCATATTGATCATAATGTTTTTGCTATTCTCAGAGCAGGCACAGTATGTGGCCATGGGTATGGCTGGTTCCAGCTCAGATGGGTGAGCAGGTTAACCTTTAACTAAGAGGTTAGTGGTTAAATCCACGGCTGTCTGCAGGTTTAAGTTTCCTTGAGCCCACAGCTCCTGAATGGTGGGTTGATGCCAAGTAGCAATGTACATTATTTTCATTATAGAAATTCTATAAATTAAAGTCCCTTTAACTTCAAAAATATTATATACAGGTGGGCAATGAATCATTTGGGAAGGAAAACCATTAGGGTATAGTGTAGGATCTTTCTTTTGATATCACATATGCAACCTGCTGATTTTGTGTTGTGTGATGAACCCATTTAACGTTAAAGACTAATCACTAAAACATATTAACATTATGTTTAATGCAGTTGTATAATCCTTTTCTAAAATGTGGCTCTCAAAAACGTGGTCCAAAGACCCGCACACACTACTCTCAAATGATTACCACTGTAATTTGCGATGAGGCAAATTAAGCAATCATATTTTGTATAAAAATAGCTCAAAATGGGAATCATCGACACAATACAGAGGATTTTTGTCCACTTGGCCACACCACAAAGGACCATACTGACCAAAGCAAATGGAAACTAGCAGTTGTAACCAGCCCCGTTGTCCGACCAACACTGGTCACACTTCTAAGCACACTCACTCCTCTTTGTGAAGCTCTATCCACCACCAGGCCACGACGGGACAGAAGACCATGGGAAATGAAGCCTGACTAATTCTATTAGCGCAGGGATACAAACAATCTATGGGTAATCAAAGGAGAAGGAAAAATAATCCCAGTGGACCCACTTCCTGCTGCATGACCTGGAGCAGTTCGCTCCAACAAGGCAAGACGTTACATTCCGGCACACATTTCCAATACAAGCTCTCTCTCACTGGCCATTATGCTGTCCATCGTTTCATATGGCAAGGTTCCAGCTTTTGATCATATCTGCTCTCTGTCACATTGGTTCCTATCTCTCTCCCTCTATCATTCTCTCACTCTTTCTTTCCCTTTCTTTCTTCCTTGTTGTGCTGTGGCTTGGTCTGTGGGGAAAGGCCAGGCACAAAGCTCTCTCGCTGAGGGACCCTTATGGGACAAAGCTGGCTTTCTGGGCTTTCTGCATATATGCATGCCATGCAAACAATGAGGCCTTTGTCAGAGCAGCCAGCATCTCCGAGCTGCAACGGCAGGATTGAGGGATGAAGTTTGGGAAATTTGTGACTGACACTGGGCACTGGTGTGTGTGTGTGTGTGTGTGTGTGTGTGTTTGTGTGTGTGTGTGTGTGTGTGTGTGTGTGTGTGTGTGTGTGTGTGTGTGTGTGTGTGTGTGTCTGTGTGTGTGTGTGTGTGTGTGTGTGTGTGTGTGTGTGTGTGTGGGTGTGTGTGTGTCTGTGTGTGTACACCCACCTCATGTCTGTGCATGCTCTTACCCTTACTTCTTCAGCCGTCTAATCAATCTCTTCCCATCCAAGGCTTTTCCTCAGAGACAATCTTCTTACGCCATGCAGTGTCACACAGTAGACACGCGTAAAACATATGAGCACGACGTTCTGCCTGGAAATCTGCATATAAAACAGGCAAAAACAGCACGCAGCGGTCTGCAATCAGAACAGCTTTAGCGAGGCCGCAGGCCGAGTATCTCTGTGCACTTGACCAACTTTACAATACGGAAATCAGGCTTCTAGACTGATTGCCTCTCTCTGTGTTGTGTGGGCTTGAAAAACAAAACAGTGTATGTAGCCTGCATTGTGTGCGTGCGTGTGTTTGTCTTGTGTAGAAAGAGAGGACACTCTGTATGAAGAGGATTTTTCTGTTTAATAGGAGCTGCATACTTGTATTCTAATGACGTTGTGTGCACTCATAAAACAAGTGTAGATACACATGTCTGTGTGCATGCACTGATACAGACACGCACACCCACTGACACACACCACTGAGTTCCACTGTTTCTGTTCTGAGGATGGACAAAGGGGGGGAATAGGCAGTGAGGCATCTCTCTTGAAGAAGATTGAGAGTATGTGTGTGAGGTATGTGTCATGCATGATATATGATGTCTGGCAGGCTTCGGGTGTAGAACTGTAGTCACCAGTGTGAAGGTGTTTGGATTTGGATGTCCCGTATCGCTCTGCAACTGAGCCACCCATGCCAAATTCATCATGTTTAATGCTGCTCGCACAGTCTTTCTTTGCCAGTGACATCATAGAACGCAATATTGCATAAAAGCATTGATGAGGCTTGCATCAAACAACACATTATGTATAATTCTGTCTTTTTCTACATACATGCACTTTTTTAAGTGAGCTTGATGGATATGTATGTTAGTGCCATTCTGTATGTCATCCCCCCATCCCCATTTTTGTCTCACTCTACTGTGTCTTCACTCAGTAAAGCTGGAGTTGTTGGAGTGGTAAACATGTGCTATGGGGGGAGGGGGGGGGTGAATGGCTAAGTTTTCCTTTTTATCCTTGCCGGATCGATTGTTGTTGCTAAGAGACTGAAGCATCCTTTGGCAAGGGGCTACACATCTGTTGGTTCCCTCTCTCTCTCTCACTCTCTCTCCTTCTCTCTCTCTCTCTCTCTCTCTCTCTCTCTCTCTCTCTCTCTCTCTCTCTCTCTCTCTCTCTCTCTCTCTGTGTGACAGTGCGACTCCTCCGAGCTATCAGGAGTACAAACTTCCACCATCCGGAGATTCGTGTGCAACCTTCGAAGGATCCAAGTCGTCCAGGTAGGTCAAAATATAGTACATTTCTGTGTCATATTGCAGGTTCGGCCACAGAGTGCAGAGAAAAAACAAATTGTCAGTCCGGGACCGTTCGAGTGCGCGTCAGCCAATCCTGCTGTGGGGAACAATTTGCTTTGAACTTTGCGCAGGATGTAAAAAGCCCATTTGTACATGCATGCATGTTCCATTTTTACAGATGTTCCTTCCGATCGCATGTTACGATAAAGGATCCAAACACAGTGGCTAATTTCTACATCGGATGCACGAGAAAGATACAGTGGTGCGTGCCGGAGATCGGGCATACAGGTGGATCTGATGGCCGCATGCAGTCAGTGCTTGACGGCAGAACGACTTTCTGTTCGCTTCTCAGCAAGCACACATACACACACACACACACACACACACACACACACACACACACACACACACACACACACACATACACACACACACACACACACACACACACACACACATACACACACACACACACACATACACACACACACACACACGCACGCACGCGCACACACACACACACACACACACACACACACACATACACACACACACACACACACTCTACGCAGGAGCCGAGGCGCGTGGCATCTACATTGAATTACGTGGACAGACTTGAGACAAAGACTCTTATTAGTGCACCAGCAGTTTCATGTTTTTCACAAACGGTAAAGGTTTTAAGATGTGATGGAACTTTTCTGCTTCCCAGATTGTTTTTTGCCTTTGAATCCACGTAACCTGTTTGAATAGTGAAGGGGGGGCTTTATTTCTGCAGGCTGTTCTCCATTAGACTCAACAGTGACCATGTATTCTATTCAGTTAAATTAGTACCTAATATTGTAAAAAAGAAAAGGAAGAAAAATAAATAACGAACGAAACACATACATAATATACATTTAGATTTGCATGGTCTAAATCTCCTTCATGATCACATGAATTGCATGTACATCTCAGATTAACATATTTCCTTCCACATGTTGATATTCATTGATGAGCCTATAACTTTTTTTCCACGCACATTTCTTCTCTTTTCCAACTGAAAAAAATGCAGCCAATTATGATGAGACCGTGTTCCCTGTGATAATTAGAACTTTATCGAATCAACATCAGAAGATTAATGAGAATTTCAAATTAAGAATTTTTCTTGGAATGATCTATTAGAGAAAGAACCAGCATTTACTCGGAGGAGAGGTGGGTGTGACTTGTAGTGGTAAAATATATTATAACATTGTTTTGTGCTAAGGCCGTGTCTCAAGTGTCCTGTATTTGACCCTGATGTGCAAAGAGCAGCATGATACAAAATGTTGCTTTGCAGCTGCGCACTGAGAAGGGAGAGCGGTCAACTCGATCTCATAGACGCTGCAAAGCAAAGGACTCCTGTTCATGGACTTGTTTCATATCTTATTCGGTACAAAAGTTCCGGATCCAAGTTTTACTTTATGTCAATTAATAATGATTTGCAGCGGCCACTGAGGAGGATCTTGTGTGTGTGTGTGCTACCCTCAGCTTCACCTGGGTTCTTATCTCAACCTGCTTTGCAGCTTCTCGTAGCTGGCACGGAGAATGTTCTTCACATGTGTATTAAAACTCAGTGTCTTTAGTGCTCGGAGACGTCATTACACCGAGCGCTGAGATACGTGCTGGTGTGTTGGACCGCCTGCTTGCAAGCAATAAATGAACTTTTTGCAACTTTGATCATTCATCAAGACTCTGTTTTATCAGACAAATCATTCTCTTCTACCGAGCTTTTATTGAAATATTCCACAACAGACTACTGCGAGATATTTGAGAGCCTGAAAATGGATTAGATGGACTTAAAATGACAATTTTATTGATGCAGTTGTATGGTGTCAGTAAGAAGCATTTTGCGCTGGTGAATGTGCGTATAAGCTTGTGTCAGTGCATCGTTGTGTGTTTTTGTGTACGTGCACGGCCTTGCAGCTTCCACTCAGCACCACTCACTAGACCGCCCACAGTACAGAACCTCATTGTTAGCATTGTAGTAGCTCTGTGCACACAGGAAAAGGGATACGGCGATGTCCTCTAGTCGCAGACGAGTTATGTGTGGATGTAATGCGTAAACGTGTGATGTGACAGAGATTTTGGAAGCAGAAGCCATGCTGATCGTAGATTATTGCGGTTTGCTGATGGTTATCTGCGGTTGATTTCATCTGTTTTGTAATGTGTTTGATACACACAGAAGCTGTCGACCTGTGCCAACATCACACAGGGAGATACGATCAAATGTGTCTCATTAAGTTCAAAGCCTAATCTAATCAAATCAGTCCAAAAAAAAGAAAGCCTCCCATGGAGCCTTATTTTCATACATCCTTCCTAAAGCTTCAGACGCTAACATATCATAATTACACCTAACTATCCCTTTTTTATCCTTAGTTACGTAAACATCTTCAAGTAACTAAAAGTTTTTGTCCTTCACACAATCGTAAAATTTAATAATAAAGCCTCCAACGTGGCAACGGCTTTACTTTGTTACAGTCGGCAACAGTGACGCGTATTGTTACAGAAAAGTTCCTTTCTGCTTGTTCTGGGAGATAAGACATCAAATTTATCCCACTGACTAATCTCCCAATTACTAGGTGCTTGCTAGTTACTAGTTTTGAGGTTTCAACTAAAAATATAATTCTTTCTTATTTTTAAGTTGCTGGTATAGGATGTTTTATTAAAATGAACAAAATCAGTCACTCTATATATACGGTATATATATATTAACTATTGTTAAATGCTGCTGATTTTGTCAGCAGGATTTCAATTATCGCAATATGCATATGTGGACTGTTTTAGCCGTGTGGTAAAATATATCTATAATAATATCACAAATAAAGTCCTTCATTCCAGGCCTCCTGAAGTTGGCTTTTGAAGTTCTTTCATTATAACGGTTGCTCCGCTCCACATGTTTCTCACGCCGTTACGCTCCGCTGAGGAGACGGTCTTGAACACACTTGCTTCCTACAACTCACCTCTCATCAGCAACAACAGTCACTCACAAAACACATCGAGCCGTGCACACACATGTACGCACACCGACACGATGAGCACTGTACTCTCTGTTCACTGACATTCATCCATCCCTACATGCACAGACTGTCTCCGACACACACACGCACACACACACGCACACACACACGCACACACGCGCGCACTCACGCGCGCACGCTACACTCTGGGGATGAGACAGTGAAAGGACAGTGGAATGTACAGCTGTGATGGTGTGTCTCAAAGAGGGATCAGACTCTTTAATAAATGATGAACTTGAGAAGGGAGACAGTGTGTGCGTGTGTGTGTGTGTGGGGGGGGGAGTCTTTGTCTGTTTGTGTGGCTCACTGGTCAACCACTTGGTACATTAGAAAAACACCACACTGAGAGCAGGCGACTCAGCGGCATCTGTTAAAATGCGCCCGTCTAATCTGTTTTAACTGACTAACTGTGCAACAGTTGAAGTATCTAATAATTACAAAATGTCTCAGTCTTTCCAGACAAACATTCAAAATAGCAAATCCACAGTTCAATTATTTTATCCATAGCACTATAAATACAAACGTCCTGTTGCAAAAATCAAAGAATTAAATTATTTATGTTTTTGTGAAACCCTACAAATGGCCCTATTGCATAACCTCTCCACAGGTTGTGATTACATCACAGACACATAACTTTGCATCAGGTAACTACTGTTAAATTCACGCCTAACTCATGGGTTGTGCGTTCTGGAACCGACCACACAGCTTTTCCGTACTCGGTGCTGTGCTCAATCACACCAGCTTGTTTTAGGGGGTTTCCTTACCTCATAAACTACAAAGTGATACATATGGATGTCCCTTATGATTAATATATATATATATATATAATATTTTGACAATTCACAAGATAGCAGACTTTGATCAGCAACTTTGATCAAATCTTGTAAACACCACCCAAGCTGAATCAACCATTAAGAAGTCTCATGTCTCTGTCCAAACCCACTCGATTGATTCACCCATCTGGTCTGAGGTAGTTAATACTCTCCATTACTCTCTACCTATTCGTTGCAATGCTCTGTTCAACGCAGGTTTTGACTGCAGTGACGACGGACTAGTGGGAGGTGAAAATGAATTAAGTCGGATGCAGCAGCACCTGTACCACAAAGCGGTTGACTGATGCTACGTGATGATTCCCAGGGTCATTACATGACTGTTGATATATTGAGGTTGATGTATGCCATCCACGGAGATGTAATTCTCCTTCTGACAGGCCCGCCGCCCTCCACAGAGATGGAATGTGCCTCTAATGAATGCCTTCACACAACCCTGGTCTGTTTTTAGGCCAAGTAGCCATTTTTAACCAGGACGTGATTTGTCCGAGAACAACCACTATGAGGTCGATGGCGACATGAATGAGGGAAGGCTTTACGGTGCTGAAAATAACTATATTTACTTTTCACTTCATGTTATTTAATGTATTAATATCTCAATTGTTTTTTGATTTTGATCATATTACAGACACTGCAGCCAGATGTTGTCAGAATCATTATTTAATACAAGATTAAATTGTGTTTCATGAATGTAACATTTACCGGACACTTATTATGTTTCAAGTCGTTTTGGAGGTCTCGCTGAAGTAAAGTGTTGTGAGTGAAATAGACCACAGTGCTTAGCCCTCCCATTGTAGATTTAGTGTGTTGTGCTCAAAGGTTAAAAGCTCTTTTGGTGTACAATCCCTTTATAGTTGCATTATTGTTTATCCAACAGTAATTGGTGTGCTTTAAAAGGGACGGTGGGATGTGCATTGTTTGCATTGCATTGCATTGCTGGATGTTAGGCTGTTGTGTTTTGTCCTATTTATGGATCATCAGTCTTTCCTGCCTAAAATGCACTTCGTAAATAATTGATGGTCACAGCCCCTTTTAAATCCAAGACTGTCAGAAGTCCGGGACACCGCGTGTACACACACACACACACACACGTGTACGTAATTGCTATCGGAGGGTCAAAGAACAAGTAGTCCACTTTTTGTACATCTCAAGAATGAAGATGGAAAGAAAACACACACACACACCGAGAGAGCTGGGTTGTCTGTCCTCTCAGTGTGTTGCGGTCCATCGACCCTGCATGGCTGCTCTCAGCTGGATACGTGTCATCCACAGCAGCCCTGCCGGTTAGGGGGAGAACGAGGCCTGTGGAGGGAGTTGGACATAAATGGGAAGTGCGGAGAGGAGCACCAGGCGGTGGGAGAGGGGGAGAATGCTGGGGAGGTTTCCTGAAATGAAACGGGATGAACCACGAGCAGCCAAAGAGGAGCGTGGCAGCTGCCCGCTCGCATACTTTACATTTGAACGGGGTCAGAGATGAAACGGGGTTGTCTGTCCGAAGTTACTGTGCATCACAGCTCCCAGGGAGAAGGTTCAGTAGGCAGCCTCCCCTTTAATCGGATGCACTCTCTCCTCTTCTCCGATTGACAGGCGTGTTGTTTTCTGCCCGTTGTTTACTTGCCTCATGTCTGTCTCCCTGTGTGTCTTTAATAGGTGTCTGTGGTGATGTTGCCATGTGCCAGCTGCCATCTGCTCTTATCGTGCTTTATTCAGGTAAGACACTGAATGCCTTACTGTCTATATGTTACGTATATGTGGCTGTACGGAACCACTTTCTTGACTCATTGATTAACTTCTCCAAGAATAACCAAAAAACACACCACTTTATATCTTGTGTTTAACAGAAAATTGCTCATATTTGGGGGGGAAATAAGTCATTCAGTGTGGAAACAACATGGAAAATGACTTATCAGTAAACCAAGAACAAAATGACTGATGTGTAATAAGTACATGTAAATGTGATCTTCATACCTGAATTAACTGACAGAATAGGAAAAAAAATATTTTTAAAGAAATTGCTATTCATGCCTAGTGTTTTTAATATAAGGATACAACCATCAGGGGGTCACCTCAGGTTACCGTAACAACTGGAAATAGGGGAGAACAGCTGACCTTGCCAGTGGTAAAAAATAGCCGCCTACCTAAACCTGAAGATTAAATAAACCAACAACAGGCTGAGATAAACAGTAATATGATATCATTGGACCATAAGCACCACAGAGTATAAAACAACCAGCTTTAAACCTATGGGGAAAAAATCAGCTTTCTTTGAGTCAAGACACTTAAACATGTGAAGTTTAAGAGGTGGTTTCTAAGCGCAAGATTTACATGCACAGGGTTATAATAATTTCACATTATAATGCCCAGCCTATAAATGTGATGGGGTTTGTAAACCAGACCTCAACCTCGTCTCACCTATTTGAATGCTTATGTTTCTCTGGCAAAAGAAAGTGGACTCTATGAACTAACGTCATCTGAAACCAGAGCTTCAAAAAAGAGAAAAGGGCATTCGGAAATATAAAATACTGTAAGTTGTTTCATTCTTAAGATATAGTTTACGTGCTTCCCAACAAAGAAGCAAAAAAATTCAAATGAACAAGCCTGATTCATATATTCACTCCTGTACTCTAGCCTGCTTGGCTTGGCAGTATTATGGCCAAAAAAAAGGTTTAAAAGTTTAAAAAGTGTGTTTGTGTGAAGAGTGTATTTTCCAACAGCTTTTCAGAAAGCAAAAACACACATACACATTCACAAGAAGAAAGTTCACTCCGCGATGTAGGAGGGGCGGGACAGCGGGGGGGTACCAAACAACTCTATATCCATTTTAGTCATGGCCTGGCTTAGGCGGAAATAACTTTAAACCCTTTTAAACAGTGTGCCCAAACTTCACTGAAGGGCTTCGTTGCTGTTTTTTAACACTTACAAAAGGTATTTCATCATGCTATCTACCTAACTCCAGTTAAATCTCCTCTCCTTCCTCTCCGCACAGGAATGATGTCCAGATGGTGTCTCCCTCCATGTGTGGTCCAATTCATCGCTCCCTGACCACTTTGTGGGCCACAAACCAACCCAGGCACCCACGGCCACTATTTGACTCAACCCCACTGTGCATCGGCCTAAATCCCTCAGTCCCAACCTTCACCCTCAGCCCCCTACATCCTTCTGCCTCACTTTCTGTTAAGCCTCTCCTCATATTCTGACGACCGTATCCCTCTCCGAGCCCAACATGTCGGCCCGCGTACCCGCTCTAATCTTAGTCATGATGTTTCCCGGCGTTTTGCTCTCGGTCGGAGACCCTCCTCCGTCCCGCCGGGAGATCCGCATCGAAGGAGATCTTGTGCTGGGTGGTCTGTTCCCCGTGCACGAGAAAGGTGCCGGGATGGAGGAGTGCGGGCGTGTGAATGAGGACAGAGGGATCCAGAGGCTGGAGGCCATGCTGTTTGCCATTGACAGAATCAATGAGGACAGCGCTTTGTTGCCCGGGGTCTCTCTCGGAGTCCACATCTTGGACACTTGCTCCAGGGATACGTATGCATTGGAGCAGGTACACCTACTGTGCAAGTGTCTCAAAGGGGGGAGGGAGGGGGGGGGGGGGGGGGGCATTACTGAGTTTGAACACAATTTGCTTAGTTAGCTGTCGGTTCTTTCGTTTAGACGGCGACTTGAACTTTAGCTATATTTTATGTTTTAAAAGTTGCACCGCAAAATAAGTTGTGCAATAAATGTTGCAATGTTGCCATTTTAAATTAAATAAAGGGTCTCATTAAAAAAGTAAATGTACTCAGAAATTCTATATCATCCACGATGGAAAAGTCAAGAAAAGTCCTTGATTGAGAAATAGAGATGGAAGCCATTCGGATGTGAGAAATGAGGCAGATTTATATTTTTAAAAAGCCTTTTCCCTCAGGGATTATTTCCAAAAATGTTTTGCGTCTTTGCTGAGCTATTAGGGGATGATGCATCCAGTGATCTTATACAATGAGCTCTTTGACTGATGGTACAAACCCTGAATTCTGTAGGTGGCAGCTTCATGGCCTGGTTCTCCACATCCCAGCAATATCTTATAATGTGGCTTGATGTCAGGGCTTGCTCATTTGCAATCTGGACCCTGTTACGAAAGGGTTAGAGAAGGTGTGCTGGGAAGCACAAGGTTGGTGGTTCGAGTCCAGGCTGCCCCATGTTCCATGTCGAAGTGTCCCTGGGCAAGACACCTGACCCCTAATTGCTCCCCAGGCCAAAAATGTGAAAAAGCCGTGGGTTTAAAGTGTAATGTAAGTCGCTTTGGATAAAAGCGTCTGCTAAATGACCTGTAATGTAATGTAATGTAATGTAATGCAATGTAATGTAATGGGCTAGTTATATGAAGGCAATGAGCTTTTGTATATTCACGTTCATAGAGATTGAAACGTTACATTATAGAAAAGTATCAATCAGTCTTTATTTATGTTGCAGATTTCTTTGAAAGAACATATTTCAAAGTGAGTTAGAGGCCGACTAAGAGCAGAAACATGGTATAGATCATACTTTTTGCACAATATTTGCGATTAAATCAACGTGGGTGTGTTTCCCGTAAGGCTCTGGAGTTTGTGAGAGCCTCCCTGACCAAGGTGGACGACACAGAGTTTATCTGTCCGGACGGATCTTACGCTCTGCAGGACGACAGCCCGCTCGCGATCGCTGGGGTTATAGGTGGATCCTTCAGCAGCGTTTCCATACAGGTAACGTGCAGCGTGCAGGTACCGAGGTATTTTTCCAAACGGACTTTAGCGTCATCATCTAACTTCGACTTGGTGGCTTCCTCTCTCGTCTTTAACTCATGACCAAGCATGCAGAACCTGACTTGCATTGATGTTGAGGGGCAAACCCATGTCTGTCTGTCTGTGTGTGCGTGTGTGTGTGTGTGTGTGTGTGTGTGTGTGTGTGTGTGTGTGTGTGTGTGTGTGTGTGTGTGTGTGTGTGTGGTGTGTGTGTGTGTGTGTGTGTGTGTGTGTGTGTGTGTGTGTGTGTGTGTACTTATTTCTTAGCATCAGGTTTTCTATCGCCGTGTTCTTGCGTGTCTCCTCGGCTCATGCAGCTCTTGTCACAGATCTGGGTAATTTGCAGAGTTTAACATAAAACCTCCCTCTCCCTTACTCCTATGTGACTACACAAAGGCATCCTCCTATCACTTCTTAAAAGTTTCTCTTCTTTTTTTTCATTGTCTCTTTTCCTCTCCATCACTTTTTTATGTTGATGTCTTTTTTCTGTCCCTTAAATATACCCTCTCTTCTTTCTCATCACAGTCTTTTAGTGTTTTTTTGTCCTTCTCTATATGCATTCAGAGGCATCCCTTGCAGCTATTTGGGGAGAGCTCAGTCTATGCTGACCTCAGCCCCCTTCTTCTCCTCCTCCTCATCATCCTCCTCCTTCCTGGGGCAGCCATTGTGAACACATCTGCTCTGTCCTTCATCACACATAATTACCCCTTGCTTCCTCGCAGCTCATTCTCATTGCCCCTCGTTGCTGTTGTTTCTTTACCTGTCTTTTTCCCAAATGCAGCACTTTTCTTTTTACGAGAACCAAACTGTGCTTAGCATTCTGATCTCTTTCCTGAAAAGCTAATCCGGATGCTCCTTCAGGAGACTCTACCTGGCCAACCTCTGTTGCTTCTAAATGAAGTAATAGGGAATTATTTATGTTTAACAATGCACAACTAAACTCCACTGTTTTGAGGGCATTCACGTAGCAGGCATAATCCCTTTCCTTCATACGTACACGTGTGTGTGTGTGTGTGTGTGTGTGTGTGTGTGTGTGTGTGTGTGTGTGTGTGTGTGTGTGTGTGTGTGTGCGCGCGTGTGTGTGTGTGTGTGTGTGTGTGTGTGTGTGTATGTGTGTGAGTCTCTATGTCTCTGTGTGTGACCTGCATTCCAAGCAGAAAACACACAGCAGCCCTCCACTGCACCAAAATGTTCTCCTTCCCTTTCATTTTTTTATACTCGTCTCTAATTACTCAACCCATTCAGTACATCTCACTTCTCCCCCTCACTCTCTTTCACAGGAAGAGAGCAGCGTTTCCTTTCCTCTGCATGTACCTGCATGCAGGCCTCTTAGTTAGTTGTAGTCATTGCTCAGTGGCAGGTGATGGAGCAATGTGGGTACATTTTGCACCTCGACCTTCCCTGACATTTAAGTCAGCTGGCATCCTAAAATCCTAAAACCTACCTAAAATACTCTAAGCAGGCATCCATGTGTGTGTCATTGCAGGGGCCTGTGCACATGTACAGCAGTTCATGTGCACATCATTGTGTACAAGTGTGTTTTTCTAATCTTCTACATTATTAGTCTCATGAGATTCTGACATGTTGTCAAAACAGCTCATCAAATGAGCTATGAATGGAATATAGAAGAGTGATGCGCTCTAAAAGGATTAACTTGAGGCGAGAATAGGAGGGCTAAATAGTTTCTGTTTATTTGTGCATGTATGCATGTTTGAATGAGAATGTTTACACGTCTTTGTGTGCATGAGGATGTGTAGCAATTATATTTGTGTTGGCTTTTGTGACTAATTGTAATTAAGGGAACATGAGCGAACACCAATCAGCAGTAAAAGGGAATAATATATGGACATCAGTAGACCCTAGATGATGTCCATCACTAATGCATGAGCCAGGGATTTATTGAACTTCCATTTATGTGTGTGCATGCGGAATGTGTGTACGGTTTTATGTTTGTCCATGCTCACATGAGCCTAAACTTTTGTCTTTTTTCTTTAAATAATCACATTATGCATGAAGGAATCAGCACAAAGCTTACAAATATGTTCCCGTTTTTAATTTGAGGTTCATAAAAATTAAGTCCAATTATTTAACTGTTTTGTTCTTACACACAGTCAGTTGGTTAAAGGAATAATCAAAATGGTGATCAAAATCAGTCAGTCAGTAAATTAACTTCTCAGTCTAGCTTTGCAGAATCCAAAAGGCTTATTTAGTTATATGCACATAATATAAGAATATTAGAAAATTTTGCCATATAATGGGTATCAAGAATGAATTACGGTTAAATCAATATGTTAATTCGTTAAAAGGGTTTAATTTGCAAGAAGGTTTAGAATTATTTCGGATGATTTATTCCTCATTTCACTGTGTCTCCCCACAGGTTGCCAATCTTCTCAGGCTATTTCAGATTCCTCAGATAAGCTACGCTTCGACCAGTGCCAAGCTCAGTGATAAGACCCGCTACGATTACTTTGCCCGCACGGTGCCCCCCGACTTCTACCAGGCCAAGGCCATGGCCGAGATCCTCCGCTTTTTCAACTGGACGTATGTGTCCACTGTGGCGTCAGAGGGTGATTATGGTGAAACTGGCATAGAGGCCTTTGAACAGGAGGCACGCATGAGAAACATCTGCATTGCTACTTCAGAGAAGGTAAGACGTGAAATACAATACGAGTTTTTCCCAGCATGACAATTAACAACAATTGCTGAAAGCAAGTCGCCAAAAGACACCTTCCACTTGTGGCGCTAATGCTGAGTGTGCATCCACGAGGCCCTACCTGTCTTATCTCGTCCTACACACAAATGGAGGTGATATTACACTGACGTAATCACTTGTGAACCAGAAAATGAAAGCATATCTAGATACTTTCACAGTCACATTTGAATCTCACTTTGCTACAGATAAAGGCGGAAGACGACTGACAACCTTTTTGTGCTTGTTTCTTCCCTTTGGATGGTGCTGATAAATGATCACAAACAGGAACCGCGAACCAATTGACAGGAGAAGGAACATTTTACAGCACATCCGTCATGACACCAACATCCTCTTTCTCTCCAGGTGGGGCGTTCTAACGCCAAGAAGTCCTATGAAGCCGTGATCCGTCAGCTCCTACAGAAGCCGCATGCCCGCGTGGCCGTCCTCTTCCTGCGTAGCGACGACGCCAGAGAGCTGTTGGCAGCAGCTGCCAGGCTCAACACCTCCTTCATCTGGGTGGCCAGCGATGGTTGGGGGGCCCAGGAAAGCATCGTCAAGGGAAATGAGGTGACCGCCGAGGGGGCCATCACACTCGAGCTGGCAGCCAATCCCCTGCCAGAATTCAACCGCTACTTTCTCAGCCTGAACCCGGTGAAAAACCATCAAAACCCCTGGTACAGGGAATTCTGGGAGCAGCGGTTCCAGTGCTCCTTGGGTGCGGGCGGAGCAGGGGGAGGAGGAGGAGGAGGAGGAGGAGGCGGAGGTGTTGGACTGGGAGGGACGTCTCTCCCGCCGTGCGACGTGGACCTGTCGTTGGACAAGAATAACTTTGAACCAGAGTCCAAGATCATGTTTGTGGTCAACGCGGTGTACGCAATGGCTCATGCACTCCACTATATGCAACGCAGCCTGTGCTTCAACACCACCAAGCTGTGCGACAGTATGAAGGCGCTGGATGGCCGCAGACTCTACAGGGATTACATCCTTAATGTCAGCTTCACAGGTAAGGGAGCCGGAGCGTGCGCAGAGTCCAAGATAACTTGTTCACGGTGGATGGATGGAGGGTAAAAATAAGGGGATGAGAATGAATTGAGGAGGAAAAAGGGACAGAGAGAGAGAGAGATAGCCAGGAAAAAAAAGCAGGAATAGTGTACCAACTTAGCAGTCCTCTCATGAACGACACAAGGATGTTGTCCTTCCGCAGTGCATAAAAAGTACTGGGACAAATCTGCTTAATTGCTATGTATTGTCTGAGCCAGCCGTGCTATTGACACCCATTACCCATCCGTAATTTATACGCCACTACAAAGTTGCTTTGAGGGATGAGAGTTGCAGCGAATCCGTCAGCCATATTCTTGTGTCTTGAACTAATGAGATTGTGTGTGTTATAATAGCTCCTATAGCCGGCTGCCTGTCTGCATGTCAGTCTCTGCAGAGTAGAGAGAGGAGAGACAGCGGATCAGCTTGACTGACAGATGGCGTACAAAGGCAGCGGTATAAATAAACCGCTGCGTCTCGGGGACTGACACAGGTTTAGAGGTGCTTAGTCCTCCACCAACCGTGACCAGGAGCAGACATCAAAACGGCCTAACAAACAGCGCTAACGCGGAAGCTTTGCTCACGAGACGCTGGGGAGCGAGCAGCAGGGATGGGTGGAGGACGGAAGAATGATACCCCAAATTGAAAGAGGGGGAGTATAGCTTGCAGATAAGAAGAACGACGGGTAGACTCAAATGAGAAAATGAGAGTTCGGGGTAAGGTACGAGGTGGAAAGACAGAAAAGAAGTAAGCAAGGAAAGAGGGAAAGAGGAAAGGGAACACTGAAGCATTGCCAGAGCGGGACATCGCGCTTCGGCAGAAGATGAGGATTCTCTTTGAAATTCCCCATCTTCATTTCTGCCACAAATCAAAGGACTTGGAGCATTTCTGCATGAGAGAGACCTAAAGAAGGATAGAGGACGAGCGCTAGTAAGATAGAGAGGAAAGGATGCATACAGAGAGGGATTAAATAGATATGCAGATTTGCACACAGAAAGTTCAAAATGTGAGCAGTAAGTTGCAGAGGGGAGGGAGGTGTGCACCCAGTGCGACTTCCTCACATCATTATGTCTGATCACCCCTCTTACTTACATCCCCCTCTCTCCCCCTCCCTTCTTCTCGCCGCTGATGCATGTCCATGAGGCGCGTGTCTTTGCTCCGCAAAGAGAGTAACAGCATGTCAAAGGATCTCAAGCTCTTCACAGCTCACTGTTAGTGTCGCCGGCGACAGCATGGCCAACAGCTTTATTGGTTTGGCCAAAAATAAGGCATTCAGTCTGCGCCGACGAGACGATGAGGATGATCGTCCCAGATAAACTGGTGAGCCGTGGCAGCGGTTTGCTTTTAAGTGACGCTCTCACGCTGCCGCTCAGACGAATCTTTCCATCTACAGCATGTAAGTAAGCTGAGGTGAGTTGAGGTTGGATGTGGGGTATAAATACTGCGGCATCACCATCCGCAGTGCTCTCAGTCTGAACTGTAGCAGACAGAAAACCAACACTGCTGCACTCTCTGCCATCTCCCTCTCTCTCCCACACACACGCGTGTTCATATGCATTGCATATCTAAGTTGGGTCTCGCTTTAGTTGATAGCTTCACAATACTGTCCTCTGTCCTAAACTTTACAATCACAACAAAGGCTGTGAAAATGGCGGGTTGTTTTGTGGTGTGCTACTGACAGCGCATGTTGTGCACTAAGCAACCTGTGTGGTGAGGATGGTGTTCTCTCATCTGGTCTCATCTCGCCAGTTGCTATGGTAATGAAGCCGACGCTATTGCCAACTGTTGAAGTGATCTGATGGATCATGGGAACTGCTCCCTGCCATCGAGCAACAGACACAGAGGCACAATTGTGCCCCGCTACATCGACTTTCAGCACAAAACCAAACTACGTCCTTGAAGAAGACACATACTGTCAGCTGTTTTTCTTTTTTTTTTACAAAAACGCGTCTAGAAATACTTTTTTTTTCTCGTATAAAATTGCAGACACCCCCAACCCACACACTTCTCAAAGCCATCATTTCAAGTCTTCTGTTCAAATACTGATGATAGATGTGATATTCCCCTTCTCTAAGCTTTTGTGCGCGAGTGCGTGCGTGCGTGTGTGTGTGTGTGTGTGAGTGATACGTCTGTGTTAGCAGAGGCGGTGTGCCTCCAGGGTCATATTGAGCAGTGAGCTTACTGCAACGTTTAGATCCTAGAGAACAACCTTCCCTCCTTCTCTCCCTCGTTTTCTCTCCATAGTCTTTCTTCTCGTTCCCGCTGTCCCTCTCTGTCTTTTTGTCGCTCTCTCGTTTGTTTTAACTCCATTCTCTCTCTCTCTCTCTCCCTCTCTCTGTCTCTCTCCATCTCTCTCTCTCTCTCTCCATCTCTCTCTCTCTCTCTCCCTCTCTCCATCTCTCTCTCTCTCTCTCCATCTCTCTCTCTCTCTCTCCCTCTCTCTGTCTCTCTCTCTCTCTCTCTCTCTCTCTCTCTCCATCTCTCAACCTTGACTTATGAAATATATACTGTTGGATGGATCATCATGATCCCAGAAAAATCTAACTGCTTAATTTCACAATCCTTTGACTTTTCCATCCTCTGGGTATAAACTGACCAGATTTTTGAATTGTGAACAGGACTGAGGAGAGAGAGTGGTATACATCTTGTCTCAGCGCTCTGCGGTCTTAGTGGCCTTCACCAGCTCTATCGTGCACTCTCAAACACTTTTTCTGATAATCTGCTCGCCCTGTCATGTCAGCAAGGTCTCTGGTGTTGGATGAAGGGAAGTAACATCAGTTCATTGGGTCTAATGCTTCAAGAATGTGATCTATTACAGTGAAGTCAGGGACAATATGTCGCCCTGAAATGGGTCTGTGTGTTGTTTTTGTTTGTGTTGTGAACGGTCAGCTCTTTACATTCCGTAGGTAGATGCTGAACAACCTTTGTCACACACAAATCATTACCTCACCTGCACAACCTACGCCCTAATATACCTTTTGTTGACCCTTTGGGGTCAACCAGAAACACATGTTCAACCCGACGGCCTCCAGTCACACAGAGTTCAAGTGTGTGTGTGTGTGTCTGATAATATTACATTCAACATTATCTATCCCAACATGCAAAATACAAAATAGCTCCACACTCTTTAGTCTGTATTACATGTAATTACCAAACACAGTTAATTAGGCTTGAACCCACATCTAAGGACAAATAAGGAGCAGTTGTGACAATTAGCTCACGGCAAAGTGTTTCTGAAAGTGTGTGTCTGAGAGGACAAGGGCCGGTTTGCCTTATTGCTCAGTGTCATTACCAGACTTTATTATCTGTCAACTTGCAATATAATGGATCCCTATTTCTCCGCCGTCTGTAGATGTTATCGGCATCTTATTGAAATCATTTTCATTTAGCTGAAACTTTTATCCCCAAAAACCCCAAAGAAGGCTTGACACTTGGAATTTCCTGCTGCACCGAGAGAGGGTTGTGCTGTCTGCGTGATTTATGGATTTCATAAACCCTAACCCCCCCCCCCCCACTGCCAACGTTCTCCTCCCAGCGCACGGAGCTCGCACAACAATCGCATCGCTTCAGCCCTCGCCGGTGTTGCGTGTCGCCAACAGCGGGGTCCGAGCTGTGGTTCTGTCAGCACAGCCCCCCCCACCCCCCCACAGAGCTCAGAGCAACGCCTCAACCATCCCACTGTGACGTGAAACCTAATGGAGCTTCCAAAGGCACGCGCGTCCCAACATCTGTATTTTGATTCACTCCCCTGATCCCGGGCTGCACTGTTTGGCAGGTTGATTTCTTCACTCACCCAATGACACAGGAGCCTTGTTAGGCGCCGGAGAGCGAAGTTTTTGTAAACCATGGCTACATCATCGCTTGACAGCGGAGGCAGCGGCGCGTAACACTCATTACAAAGGCATTACAAAGCGTGTTGCTCGCTCCGCTGTAAGGACAGAAGCTGCAGAACTTCTCTCTCAGTCCACGGTCGCTTTTCCCCCTTTTTTCTTTTTCTTTTTGTTGTTGTTAGTTTCAGCTTCCTGCCAATTTTTTTTGATCTCTTCTGTTCCCACATCCTCGGGGTTGATGGTAATCCTTTCATAACAGCTTGTATACAAACCAATTTGGCAGTTTCAGCAGTGGGCCTCCCTCACATAAGAGACCCAGAGGCTAACTCTGTCAATGTGTGGGTTGCTATATCAATGTCCAGGGATTCAGTCTTCCAACTTCATGCCTATATAATTTTATAGGCAGTTTATTAATGATGCATTTGGTAATAGACTTTGTGGGATTGGAATTTGTAGCAGCGTTTGGTGACCTCAGGGAGGGATGGGAGGCCATTGATACACGCAGACATCACCAAGCATACCAGGCATTTATAGCCTCTTAGCAAATACTTTAGCAACTGGCCGGTCTTCAGCGCTGAAAGGACTATTTGAATGGCCTTCGCCGTCTGCTCTGGCCTCCTAAGGCTTAACTGACCACGGCTCATTGTTCCTGTCCTCACTGTCGCGTATATGAGGCATCAATGGAATGATTGTTTTCGTGATTGTTTAGCTTTAATCTCCTTTTTTTCCCCTCCATTTGCCTCATCCCTTTATTTGTCGCTCTTTTGTCTCCTCTCACCCCCTGCAGCCCCTTTCTCTCCTCCAGGCAGTGAGACAGTTGTGAAATTTGATTCCCAGGGTGACGGCGTCGGCCGGTACAACATCTTCAGCTACCAGCGCACAGCTGACCGCTACGGGTACGTGCCAGTGGGGGACTGGGCAGAGAGTCTGACCCTGAGCAACGATCTCATTCACTGGCCCAGGGTTGCGGTACCCACCTCGCAGTGCAGCGACCCCTGTGAACGCAATGAGAGGAAGAAAATGCAGGCAGGTAGGAGACTGGATTCACGACGATGTTCTCCCTGGTCACATCATACCACACCCAGAAGCAGCGTCTTTTGAGAAAATCTCAAGACCGACAAGTTCTGCTGTTTGTGTTACTGCTTTTCCCAGGCGAGTACTGCTGCTGGATCTGCACAGCCTGCGAGCCTCATGAATACCTGGCCGACGAGTTCACCTGCTTGCCCTGCGTTCCTGGCCAGTGGCCCACCGAGGAGCTGACGTCCTGCTACGACCTTCCCGAGGACTATATTATGTGGAAGGATGCCTGGGCCATTGGTCCAATTACCATTGCCTGTTTAGGGTTAGTGATAAAGAGCTGTCAATGTAAAGACAGTTTCTGACGCTTGGTTGTGTGTGTGTGTGTGTGTGTGTGTGTGTGTGTGTGCGAGTGTGTGCGTGTGTGTAAGTGTGTGTGTGCATGCTCGTAAAGTTTACGCTGGCTTGGAGGAGGGGAATTATCCGTTCCTCCATGGAGTGACTTTGCTCTTCCCCAATTTGTGGAAGTTGCTCCCGGATGCCATAGCAGCCTGCGATAACATTAGCAGGTCTCTGGTGCTTTTTGTTGGATTTGGTGACATTAGTTAGTCGTTATGATCCTAACGCATTTGGTCCTGTGATGCTAAAATGTAATTAAAACCTCATCACACAACTTTGTTATTATAGCTACATTACTAGAATTACACAGTCCTGTTACACAGCTGATGTAGATGCAGTGTAACAGCAATGCAGCTTTTTATTGTTCTTAAGATTATCGACTGGTGAGGATATTGAATTTTTGCTTGGAACATGCAGCATAACCGTGTTAGCGTGTTGTGTGCATGTATTTAAGATCCCCCTCCCGGACTCATGCTTTTCATACATAAACATGTACAATAATGTTAACAGATTTTTATTTGATTTGTTATGTATAGCTCAGCCCTTCTTGTTTAACAATATTAGCACCTATTAAAACTGGGTCTGTGAACCGCTTTACTCTACAGGTTCATGTGTACCGGTCTGGTGTTCTGGGTGTTTATACGACACAACAACTCGCCGCTGGTGAAAGCTTCGGGTCGAGAGCTTTGTTACATCCTCCTCTGTGGAGTCTTCATGTCCTACGCCTTGACTTTCCTCTTCTTGGCCAAGCCCTCTCCGGCCATCTGTGCCCTGCGGCGCCTCGGCCTGGGCACTTCTTTTGCTGTCTGCTACTCGGCCCTCCTCACTAAACAAACAGAATCGCCCGGATTTTCAGTGGCGTGAAAGACGGTGCGGTGAGGCCGCGCTTCATTAGCCCATCTTCTCAGGTGAATGATCGCAGCATCACGTCCATCCGTCTGCATCACTCACATGACCGGACGAACGGACAGACAGACAGCGGCCCGTTCATGACCTTACCCTTCGTTCCTCTCTCCAGGTGTTCATCTGCCTGAGTTTGATCTCCGTCCAGTTAGTGATGGTGTCGGTGTGGCTGCTGCTGGAAGTTCCCGGGACGCGGCGCTTCACGTTGCCGGAGCGACGACAGACTGTCGTCCTCAAGTGTAACGTGCGCGACTCCAGCATGCTGCTTTCACTGGTATATGACGTGCTCCTGGTCATCCTGTGTACTGTGTAAGTGGGTCATCGATAGTTGCAATCGCCTCCGAGAGTTTTGTAAAAAAAAAAAAGGGTTCCAATTAAAGTGCTTTGTGTTCTCCAGCCTGAGAACTTTGTTCACTGTGTTCTGTGCAGCAACCGTTTTTGTGTCAATATGATTATCTCCCTCTAGGTATGCCTTCAAGACCAGGAAGTGCCCAGAGAACTTCAACGAGGCCAAGTTCATTGGATTCACCATGTACACCACATGTATCATCTGGCTGGCCTTTCTTCCCATCTTTTATGTTACATCCAGTGACTACAGGGTATCTTCTTCCACACACACGCGCACACACACACGCTTCTCTCTGTCTTCTACAAAAGAAATTGTTAGACAACATTGAAGACAATATAACTGTGTTAGCATTTTGTTGTTCTGGTCAACACGGTAACACAAGCACACAGGTCACGGAGCAGCGACGTAACAGGTAGAGAAACGACTTAAACAATTTCCAATCCAGCTGGCGAACGTCGCAGCTCTGCAGTATTGGCATGACAGACAGACAGGCTCCGTCAAAGTGCTGACACGTGTCCGGATTTAACAGCAAAGGGGGTGAGGGGGTGAGCGGGAGAGCGGGCGGGTGTTCATTTGATCTTTAAGATCATGCGCACATACCTTAAGAACACGCTCCGGCAAACACACACACACACACACACTCTGTATTGAAGGGCATAAGAGAGGAATGCTGATGCCAGGGCAGCTCATTTGATCCCTACAAGAAAAAATGTCTCTCTCGCTCCCTCTCCCTCTCTCTCTCTGGCCTTGTAATCTGACTTTAGTCAAGGAGAGGCACAGCACCAAAGCCACCCCCCCCCCCCCCACACACACACACACACAAAGTATAAACACTCACTTTCTTCTGTTAGTTGATGTTATTGTGATAGGGAACGTCACGCACTGCAAACACAATTTCAGACCGTCCTTAGATTAGATTTAGCATTGATGTGGTACAATGTGTCTCAGAGAATGAAGTAAAAACCACCACTGAGATACTGTTATGCTCGGCCTCCGTGGTCTCTGCTGATTAAGTCGTTTATTGATCCATCCTGTGATTGTTAGCCTTTCAACTGTAGCAAGCTGACGGCCACAAACTGGTTGCGATTTCTATTCACAGGCCTCATTGGCATCTTCACGCTTTACAAGGATCCATTACACTTTTTAACACTCATTTAAAAAGTCCTTTTGACAGATGTTCCTTATCACAGATTATCATCACCAAATTAGCTCCTAAGAGCAATTACTCTGTACCACATTAGCATAAGATGTATCCATCACAGTCTGGCTACTAATTACCGCCCCGTCCTCTTTGCTCCGCAGGTTCAGACCACCACCATGTGCATCTCGGTGAGTCTGACCGGGTTTGTGGTCCTGGGCTGTATGTTTGCTCCCAAGGTCCATATTATCATGTTCCAGCCCCAGAAGAACGTGACCAGCCACAGGCTCAACCTCAATCGCTTCAGTGTCAGCGGGGCTGCCACCACGTACGCATCTCACGGTAGGTTACATCCAGTTACCTCACTTCAAAAGAGACCGGGGTTTAGAGCAGCACTGTCTTGCTCGGCTTTTATCATGCAAATAGAATTAGGTTTGACGCATTCAATATTTGGCCGCCCTGCGTTGCACCTTTTGCCATAAGGGACACAAAATCTTGAACTATAGACTATTTAGGCGTTTGCTTGAAAAATGTATTACAGCCAAGTTACAATATCCAGAGGCAAGATAGGTCTCTAAATGTGCAATGCTGTTCCTCTAAAGCTGTTACCTTCACGGTGGGTTAGGATTGACAGTTTCAAACGTAAGCGGGTCAGACTGCAGAGAATGGCGTCCTGTTTGACGGACCAGGATGTGGTGGTGAATGGTACAGTGAAAGGACCTTGGATCAAATAGGTGACTTGAAACATATTCCTGCCGAATTGACCTCACATAAAAGATCAACTAAAGGTTTGGTGGGATTCTAGTTTTTTTTTTTTTACAAATGACTTTTGCAGAGTCGCCATATTTATTACCATTAACCAACAGGCGTCTAGACCCTAATCACCCGTACGATTGTTTGACATTTTGGTGATGTGATTTAAATGTAATGGCATAATATGATACAAGTCGATTATGAATTATAATATGGACCAATCTGATGTCTTGTGTGTTTTTCCAGCATCTGTCAGTGCCCACCAGGTCCCGACCGTGTGCAACGGGAGAGAGATCGTCGACTCCACTACTTCCTCTCTGTGACCACATCCAGTCCACTCTCTGAATTTGCCCCTGCGACTGTTAGCCAATCCATGAGCATTATCCCCCCTACAAACCCATCATTCCCCATCATTCCCCCCCATTCCCCAATTTACACACACAAAAACATACGCACACGTACACACACACATGCACAAACAAACAAACAATCTCCTTTGTGGACTTACAAGTGTATTGTTTCAAAATGTAGAAAGTGTGTTACTATAATTAAATTATTTTCTAGGGATGTACATACATGGAATCAACATTGTTGTAAGTAGAGAAACAAAAGAACAAAAAATGTTTTTAGGAGGAATTTTTGGAGCCTTTGTTTTTGATAGCTTTGTTATGATGCGGTGTAAATAGACATGTGCGTCATCATGGTAGGAGGGTGTGTGTCCCTCAGTCTGGATGCACATGTGTGGCTCTGCTTGACTCACCTGCAATATCCCACAGACTTTTTATTCTCATGCTTTTTTGTAGGTCTCATTGTAATAACCAATTATGTACCTATTTCTATTGTGTGTCTGTACATTTGTATATTATACTACTGATGGTTCAAACAGCACAATGTTGACAGTCTTGTAAACCTTGAATGAATGTGGGCAAAAACATAAAGTGCACGGTATAGGATGGCTGGAACAGACGTGTACACAAATCCACCAAACTCAACAACTTACTGTTACACTGTGCCGGAACAATTTTCACTTCATCAATTCACCTCCTGATAGATTTTCATTGCATCCTAGATCAATATAAAGAACCCACGGTAGCTGTTTTTGCAGGGAAAAAATATGTTTTGCTTTTGATAGAAATGTTCATTTTTCTATTTCTAATCCCTTTATCTTAATGACCAGAGTTCCAGACGTGTGTTCACCAAGGAAACAGACTCTCAAACTGCCTCTTTATTCAGAAGGTTGTTGTATTGGATTTTTAATAACAACTAACAACACGACTGAAGAGATACAACACATCAAATGTGTTTATTTCGTTTCAAAACTGTCAATACAGAGTCAGTCAACAAACAAACACAAATTGCTTTCTTACCCACTAATTACAAAGTTGTGCTCAGACAGTTCAGACACAAACCACTAATGGAGGTAGAAAGTTCTTCTTTGCTGAACACATTTAGAATTTTTACAAGTACAGGGGAGTGGTAGCTTGTTTTTTTTGTCCCCCATAGACACAGTATGTGGTGATGTTTTTAATATGGCTCTGTGCCTTAATGTATGTTTGGTAGTGCTCCAGGTAGGGATTGAAAATAGATCAGTTTTACATTACGGGATGAAAATTACTGGAAAGTGTAAAAGTGACCTCTTGTTTCACTTCTTGAGCACTTGTTTCAAGGCAACGCCAATTAGTTTTCTTCCCTAGTAAGCCTTCTGCTATTGATTGTTTACCTAAGTGTTGAAACAGTGAATCTGAGGAATTTAGGTTGAAATGACTTTCTCTACCCCTCCCCTTCTTTGTCCAGCCTGTGATTAAAAAGAAATACGAAATGGACATTTTTGACCGAAAACCGATCATAATGAATTCACTTTACATTTTTTTTTACAGCTCGGCTGCACCGATAAAGAAAGGAAAGGGGAAGAGAAAAGCTCACATACCGATTAGGTGAAGTTACTGAGTTGTCGACTTGTCGAAGTGTGCAGTTTACATGCCTGTGTTAAATGTGTTGACATTGAGAGGCACAGTGGAGCAGCTGGCTACGGCTCACCAGAGGAAACAGAGCACACAATGTCAGCTGTCTGCAGATACTCCAGCTAACAAAAGGATGTTAGAGCAGAACTCATGCAGAACATGCATTGCATTTATCAGAACATCCCATCCAACTACAAACAGTAGCTGGAAATACAAACAGACTCTTTGCTGGGTGACAGTTGTGAGGGGGCGAAATTACCTGACAAAATATTAATTGTGTTTTTTCCAAGAAAGTCTAAATAGCCTAAACTACTTTGGCACTAGGTTACAACATCTCATTGCTAAAAAAAAAAAAAAGTGACCTCTTGGAGATTGAAAGAATTTGAGAGGATGCGCCAAGATGAGCCAACCTGCATAGGGGCGTGTGTGTGTGTGTGTGTGTGCGTGTGTGTGTGTGTGTGTGTGTGTGTGTTTAGGTGCAGAGAGCATAAGGAGAGAGTGATGTGGCAAAGCAGAGGGGAGCTGCTGCTAGATTATGTAAAGCACTCCCACAGCACAGAAGTCACAGCGCTTCTATGGAGGCTGAAAGCACCTCGGAGATTCACAGTCTTTGTTAGCAGAAGGCTTAGCCATTCACTCAGTGGTCCTGCTCCCACAAGATACACCCCGCATGGCAGGTTGCTACGGACAACCGCCGCCACATCCGCTGCCGGAATGTCTATTTGTCCGCATGTAGAGGAGGGGTGAGGAGAAAGCGAAAGACGGGGGAAATAGAAAAAAGGCTGGTCGCTGGTTGTGATTCAAATTGGCATCTAGTGATGAGATTTGGCTGAGCCGTGCCCTGCACTCTACTCCCAGCTTTTAATGGCCACACAAATAGAGCACTTAACCCGGGTTCCCCTCTCATTTAGTCCAGGCTACCAGTCTCGGACAACAGTCCCACACTCTTCCACTGAACCCGGCCTCTTTAAACCCACCTCACCCCTTGAACCCTCATCTCCACTCTGTGTGTGAAACTTACTGCTGAGTCAGCCTCAGCCAAAGACCACCTGAAGCCAAACCAACCGATTGGGAGCCCGGCCCGGCCCCCACACTTAAAGTCTGACACTCGTACCTGGGTGCCCACCGCAGCACATACCGATGAGGTCGACCTGAGGAAGTTGGAGGAGATAGATGAAGAATTTGGAGAGTGTATAGAAAAAAAATGAAAATTGCACATAAAGAAAACGGTATCCCGTTCAAATTCATTCACATTTATCACATCATGTACACAGTGACTCTCAGTGGAAACTTTTTTAAATGGCTTCCCTCATGAATATCCCTTTCATTCGGCAAGCCATCCACTACGGACGTTGTTCCTCTCTTCGGCCTCTGCCAACTGCCATGTGCTCCACGGTCTCTGTGCTGTGGCCCCTTGTTATGTAACAGAATGTGTCCTTTGGCCTCTCGACTTTGAAACAAAACGAGATCTCTGCGGCAAAAATGAAGCTGAGGTCAAGCTAAACTCTGGAACGGATCAATCAAAGCAATAGTTCCGTGTTTATGATACATGCAACAAAGAGGCTGTGATTACATCATAATAAATAACAGTTGAGGTCAACTGCTCGTCCTTGCTTGTCCAGTGTCTCCCGCTGACGAAAAAAAGTGTCTCAGTGTGTTTATGAATCTCATCCAAAATCGAGATGGTGAAGAGTACACTGATTTGTCTCCACAGCGTCATTGACAGCCACACCGCACTCATTCACACACACACACACACACACACACATACACACACATGCTCTATTCATAGCGTGTGCTGGCAAATGCTGAAAGATGTCTTTAACACTTGTGCGTAATCTGTTCCCTAAGTGATGGCACTCCAATTAAAACATCTACTCGAGTGTTCACTGCCTTAGGACAATGCACTCCGGTGTGTAGCTCCACTTTCTTCAAAAAAGAATGAAAGACAAAAAGAAAGAAAGCAACAGCTAAGGTGACGTTTGTCAGAAGGTTTTCATCCTACAGCGTCAGGTTGTTGATGATAACACATTGCAGGTACTGGATGTACGCACGGCAATGCTACCCTCGTCTTTTATTTTTGGCTCCATCATACTGCATACAGTTCTTTCTTTTTTAGAACTACATGTTGACTCTTTTCTTAAAGCCTGGCAAAGCTCGCCACCTGGTGGTAGAGTTAGGGAATTACATAAGTTACCAGGAATAATGAAGTACCTCAACAGAAAATGGTATTCTTTTTATTTTTATCTAATCTTTGCTTTTAGTGAAAAATGTATACATTAACCTCTGTGACCTCAAACTGTTAAGTTGACTGCAGTAGCTGCATATATGTACTTAGTGACTTTCCACCACTTTTTGCCAATAGTACTGCAAGATGGAAAGAGAACTAGAATGCTATACTTAAGTGTTGCACTCTGTGTAAACAACTGATTATCAACATACAACTGCCTTCCTCAGTTGAGCCTCACAAGGAAAAATTTGAAAAATACCAGACAACTTAATAAATATAATCAGTATACTACTACATTACAGCAGTTTTTACACATAATGTATTTCCTTTGGTCATTAATTAGGATGTATGGATATCTATATATGCTTCAGTGTAATAATGCAAATTCTGACCACAAGCCACATACTAACTTTTATTATTTGATTGAACCTCGGCAACATTTGCAAAGTGTCGCCTCTGTGGAGAAGTAGCTGCGCCCTCTAAACTTTCTTATTTGATCAGGAAGATTTCATCGGAATTCTTTTTTTTCACTTCATTTTTCTGGAACACAGATGCAACATTAAGTAAAGGCTTCATTCAATAAGGTACAGGCACACATAAATCAAATGTGTTGCAATAACCTGTTTTAATATGTTTTGTTGTTAGTGCTTGTTAATTAGTTTCACTGTAAATTAAAGTGAAACTAAACTTTCACTCTCACAACTATTTACAGAAGACAAAACATGTGGGGTATATCCTGAATATAGTTTCAAATACAAGACAACTTTTAGAGGGTATTGAATTCTGAGACCGAACCAGTGATGCGACTTGTGCTGTGATCATTTTGAAACTATACATCATGTTAAATTAGTATCAAATTGCTGAGTCATTTGCTTGTAGGCGAGGATATGTGTACTATATTTAAACCAATCCAATCCTTTTGAGACTTTAAAAATAATCAGTAGAGACAAATGAATCAAACTGGATCCACTTATACATAATTTAATCAACATAAATAGACAGTCAACAACAAAACCGTATCGGTGTAACATGACGTCTTCATTTCAACGTGGTCAGCAAAACACTTCTACCTGCTACAATAACTTCAACTAAGCAAATGAAAAAAAAAAACAGATGAGAAGAGAGACACACACCTATAGAGGCATTAGGCACTACTAAAAGAGAAAATCAATCAAATAGCTCTTTGTCTTACCCTGAGCTCTAACAGCCTTTCTGACATCAGTTTGAATCAGGATATTAACAGAAGTGTCCATCACACACACACACACACACACACACCGGCTTCCCGGTACTACGCTCAGAGTTGGACAGCTCCGTCTCGCCGAGCTTTAAGGCCACCGTGCTCTTGCCTTCTCTGGACCTGGCTATAGATGCGTGACATTTGTGTGTGTTTACGTTTGCATAAACACACAATTGTTATTCCAGGCACCAGAGCTCCTAAAGTGGGGGGGCGGGATGTTTAAAGGGGGTTTCTAGGGGTGAAAAGTCTTTCGGGGGTCCGATCTCTCCCCTCACTTTACCACCTCTCTAGCTCCATACCAACGCTTTCGAATGAGAGGAGTTTAGCTGCACATGTTCGTAGTGCTCTCCGTTTCCCTGGGAAAAAGGACAAAGCACGCATTATTTCGGCAGTGTATAAAAGACTTTTGTCAAAGCGAAATGTTCCCACTGCTAATTTAACGATGATCAGACTCGCACCTTGGATGCTATGGCTTTGAGTTTGCCAAGTAGAGAAGGTTTTGTGTACACGATTTCATCCTCCATGTCTCCCTCGTTCTCGCCCTCCATCACGGCACAGCTGTCCGCTCCTGGCATCTCACACTCCTTATTGGCAGATATAACCAACCGCGAGTACTTGTACTCCAACCTGGCAAAGAGACAAGTGACAGGATCAATAGTGTGGGTAAAGAAACGACGAACATTGGCAACATTTGCAACGTGACCAGGAAACCCCTGAAGAAGGTGAATAGATAAAGCAAGAAAGGAAACTGATGGGGAAAGTAAGGAGAGAGGAAATGTGGCAGGCATGAAGGAGGAAAACAGGAAGCGTTGTGGAGTTTGGATGATTTAGTTCAGTGGGTTAGTGATTAGTGGGACAGGAGGCAGAAAGTAAAAGAATAAAAGATTAGGAAGGTTAGGAAGGAATTTGTGAAAGAAGTAGACACAAAAAAGCTTGCAGGAAGGAGAAAGGGGATTTTTACCTTTTGTTCTTCTTCCAGAAGTAGCAGGTGAGCGAGACGAGCAGCACCGCAGTGAAAGCTCCCAGACCGGCACCGAGCCGGACCCAGAACTCCACGCCCTCGCATGGCAAGGTCTTCTTTTCAGGCAAGGACAGACCTTCCATGCAAAGCTTTGGTTCAGTCCACACATACAGCAAGTCCTGAGGTAGAACATACATACATACATACATATGGCAGCAAATAAGCAAAAACACACACTGAATATTGTACAAATTTTCCTCACAAAATTTTAAAATTCAGCTTTAAGGGTATTTTTGTCCATATGGGCCAAGGCTTTATAAAATAGCCTTAAAATGATACACAGTCAGTGGGATGTGGGCGAAAACCCCTCAAATTAAAGCTGCCAGCGCATCGTTTCATTTAAAATCCATTGTGTTTCCCTCAAGAACCAAATGAAATGGGCCCAAATACTTGCGCAGTGAATATGTCCACACACACACACACAGACACACACACACACACACACACCTGGTGTCCTCCTTTGCAGGCTCCCTCTATCTGATGGTAGTCTGTCTCTGTGCAAGTAGGACACGCTGCTGAGCTCTCCCACAAGAAATGGAAGGTGCAGCCATCGCACGTCCCCGCCGGGCACTGACTACAAATAGCAAAAACACAAGCCGTCACCTCAACGACGACCACCATCACAGCACAGAGCACAGCGCTGCGGCGCGGAGACAGGAAACCGCCTCAGCGACGTAGTACCTGGGAACGGCGAGCTCTCCTTTAGTGCTCTTCTCTGCGTTACAGCGAAGTGTCACGACCGCGCTGTGTCCCGACTCACAGGAGGAGGTTGGCTCCAGGGATCTTCGCAGAAAGAAAAAGAAGGAACACACAAAAAGACGAGAGCGCACGCACATTATTTGTAGCGCTCTCAGGTTAGATCGATTAAATTGAAATTGTTAGTCGAAAGTTACCTGTAGTAGAAGTTAACGTCGGGGACTTTCTTGGTGGTTTGGGGGTACAGCTCTGGCCTCGCCCTTATTCCATCAAGTGTACTAGCAACTGTCACTCCTGTTAACGACATACAGCGGCATTGTTTAATGCGCGTGTGTGTGTACAATTAATACGTCTTTGATTTTCTCTCTCCGGTCTTATTATTTGATAAAAGACCCACAAACAGAAGCCCAAACGCAGTTGTCTGTCTGCGTATCGTGCTCACTAACCGAGTAACGTGTCGGCCAGGTTAATGGACTGGGAGGCGAGGGCTGTGTAGAAGCCCCGCCCAGTGGCTGGGATTATTGTTGACTGACAGATGAAGGTCTTGACAGCACTGATTCCTTCGCCTTTCTCTCTCTGGGAGTCGGCGATGGATAGGTCTGTGACGTTGTCTGTGCACACCGCCATCTGGCAAAAAGCAAACAGCAAGGGCGTCGCATTGAGATACAGAACCGCTTTTTACGCTGCGTGTGAGTGCATGTTTTGTCTCGTCACACCTTTCCTCCACACAGGCCTATTTTGAAGAGGTGGAAGTACTTGGTCCCTTTGGAGGTAAAGCTCGGCCCATTCATCAGAGACCCTACAGACCCGAGGAGGCTCAGGTCATAAGTCAGAGTCACATTGCCCTCAGTGTGGGTGAAGTGGCAGTCACTGTAACATAAACTGTGGTCCTGAATGAAAAAAGAAAGAGACAAGGACACCAGTATATATGGCCGTGTGTTATATGATTAGCACCAAAAACAATAGTCTGATTCCGTTCCCCAAATCAAACCTTGTCGCTCCTGCTAGCCGGCCCACAAGGTTTGCAGGCGTCCGGGCCCGGCGTGGCGTGTGGGACGAGGTGTGTGTTACGGGGGCACTCTGTGCACCGGCTGGTGCGTGCGTCAATGTAGTGTCCCGGTGGACACGGCACACATGTGGAGCTGGAGGGCCGGGTGCTGAGGGCGCAGGCCCGGCACCTCGAGGCCACGCCATCCACCACGTTACTCACCGAGACGGAGTAGATCCGCACCACGTCGTTGACATACCGGCGTACCTGAGAGAGAGACGGGTACAGAACAAGATTGCTTGTAGGTGTTGTGGACCTGCTGTGTGAGACTGACAAAAAGCTCTACACACGTGCGGATGGTAACAAAAAGTATGTGGTGCATTATATAAGATGTCGTTCTGTCTTTACTTTAAACCACCCACATTCCTGCTACACGGGTGCTTTAAAAGAGCAAGTTAATGATTCAAGCTACACTGAAGTGGGCACAGAGATAAAATGTCTGTTAGATTTGTGGTTGAGTCTAAACTCAAACACCACGGCGGAGTGTATCGTCATTAGCAAACAAACAAGAAAATAGCGCTTTTCTAAATACCAAAAAGGTGCTTTATATCAGGGCAGAGACAGACAGAACCAAGAAAAAAAAAGAATCAAACAGAGCAAATCTTGAGTCCGTGGCTAAATCCTGGGTCAGTATATACTTTGAGCAGTGGACTCATACTTACATCTGAAGGTTGGTTTGTCCTCTGGAAAGCCCACGTGTAGGACACCGAGGCATTCTGGGTCATGACGTGTGTGTACGTCTGTCTCGTTTTCGTTCCCTCCCATGACTCCACCACCGTAGTACTCTTCCTGTTTACATCCTGAGGAACAATCATTTCCACTGTACTTACTGTAATTCTCCCCCCACAAAGTAAAAATGCACTTGTAGCGGCAAACATCTGTCAAGCGCTGCCTCACCATCATGAAGTAGAACTCGCAGTCAGCAACACACACTATTTCAAATTCAAATGTGATGCGACCGAACTCGGTCCCGGAATGGCTGGACATGGATGTAGGAAGCCTGGCGGCGAAGGAGGAAAACAAACATGAGTTCACCACAAAATCAAATAGCCGAGCGAAAAGAAGGATGGAGACTAAAAAACAAAAAAACAACAACAACATGACAACACTTACTTGAAGCCAGGGATATGGATGTTGAGGATGAGGTAATCGTTATCCGAGCTGCCTGCTCCACTCTGGATGTGATCACGCGCCACCTCCCAGCCTTAAGGACAGGACACATCCAAATTACTCAATCATGTCGATATGTTCCTTTAATTAATTCATTCTTGCTATTTTATCTTGTGGCAATAAATGGCTTCTGATTGTGATTCTGAGACACGTTCATAAACAGAATGACCAATGAGAGAGAGAAATAGCACATATTGCCAAAACACACTCACCATTCATACCATCACATTTGGAGTTGCCAACATTGAAGCAGGAGGTCTTCATGTTTGCAGGAAGAATGTTCCACCATTTATACTCGTAACCCAAGTTGGGCTCAGTGCCTGCTGGACACCGATCACATGCTGGGGGACAGACACAATGAAAAGACCAAGTTGAAGGCTGCCTGCGGCAAAAACAAAAGAAAACTAAAAAGGGAAATGACAGGCGGTAAAAAAAATGTATAAGTTAAGAAAGTTCTCCGTACGTTTCATCCCATCGGAAAAGGTCCCAGGTGGGCACGGTGAGCAGGTGGCGGTGTCATTGTTGTAGAAACCAGGGTTGCAGGGGGGGCAGGGCTCCTTTTCTCCACTTGGAGGCAACGGCTCGGCTCCCGTCACTCCGTCCAGACAGATTTTAGGCTCGATCCACTTGTATATGACATGCGTCTGAAATTACACAGCGATGTAGGGTGATGGACAAGAAACTGGGATTACAGAATTGGATTTTTCTTTGTGTTATATTTCACTCACCTTGCCTTCATTGTCACATGCTGTGTGGAACTGGAAATAGTCCTTCTTTGAACATGGAGGTCTGTACTTACAATAAGCAGATCCCTCAGCTTAGAAAAGGAAAAGGGGTGATGAGGCAAAATGAGATGACATGAGCCGAAGAGGAAAAAAGGTGATTAGAAGATTTTATGCAGAACTCAAAATCCATATGTGAATGCAGATAATGAATAAAACAAGCAGATACAATAATGTGCTCATGAAGAACAGCATCAAACGTGAAGCACAGGAGTCTTACAATATGCATCAAGAGGTTAAATTATTCAATATGTTATGAACACTGTAACCTTATTACAATCAATTCTCATCGACTAAACAGGAAACGCATTAACAGCATCATCTGAGGACGTGAAGATACGTTATAACACAGCAAATTAAAGGAAGAAAAATACTTTTCATAACTTTCATTTCACGTTAGAATATCAGAATTGTCAGGTCGGTCATATTTCATAATAACTCATTTACTACCTTCTCTTGATTTGGAATAGCTAGCCTGTGTAAATGTATTATAGTACATCCTTGTTGTGAAAAGTAAAATACTCCAGGAAGCATAATACTTCTATCCTTACAAATAGCATATTACAAAAGAAAATGAGCTTTAAGCTTTAAGAAAACACAAGAGCACACTTTCTACATCATGTGCCGAAATCTGCATTTCCCTTGACATCACACCAGTCCTCCACACAGATCTAACCAGCACGTTCCTCCTCTCTGAGGTTTGAGTAATGTGGCTGAAAATAGGACGCGCGCTCTTTCTTTCCTCGGGCTGCTGTTATGTGACTCTGCAAGCGGCGCTGATAACAAGAAGGCTTCTAACCTGACTCTCTGCCGCTGCAGTCGCCCTGTGTTGTTTCAATGATTCAGCGCTCTACGAGTTCAGAACGGAGCGCAACACGTGCACGTATTTCCTACCTGCGTACTGAGTGGTGGCGTTACAGGGGGTGCAGGAGCTCGCTCCGTGCCCGGCGTAGGTGTCCCGAGGACAGGGCTCGCACGCAGTGGACCCCGGGATACGGCTTAATGACCCCGGCTTACACGGGAAACACTCCGAAGTGTACGCCACTCCTGGTACAAGGAAATGAATAAACATTGTTTAATCGGTGCATTGATTTGTCATTGAAGTTGGGATAAGAGGTGGGCGTTTCTTGCTAACCTTCTATTTGAACATTTTTCAGCAAAACAGGCTTCACCCCTTTGGCCATCATCACTCCACCGGTCCTCCAGTACAGGATGTTGGTGCCAGATTTGAGGTTCACCTAGAACGCATGTTTCCATGTATTATCAGTCAAGCTGTGACAGTAGAGAGCACAATAACGTGAGGCTTTTTTTGATGTAGAGACAATTAACGAGGCATAACATCTTAAAATAACTTTTTTTACAATTAGCACTTGAAATGATGAAATGACAAAATAGTTTTTTTTACAAAATGCACCAAAACACAAAGATGATCTTGGATGAATAATAATTAGGTCTGAAATTAAAACAAAAAAACAATTGGCGCTGCTTCCCTGAGTTTAATGCATTTATATGCATGAACAGGTAGCTAGCGGCAAAGATGTCCATCTTCTGGCATGCATCACTTACGGTGTGGGTTGCCCATTCACCATGATTGGTGAGCTTGAGCCACTTCGCATCCGCTGACTGATCCATCTCCTGACATTGGTCATTCTGGATCTAAACACACAGAAATAATCAATGTTCTTCAGCTGAATCTCTCGCCTCTTGTACGGCAACGTAGAGTTTTATGACTTTAATATTCATTTATATACACTTTCACCAAAGTGTTCATGGGATTTTTTAACATTATTATTAGAAGTACAAAACGGATTGCATATTTGAAACTCACAAAGAACTCAAATAGCAGGTTGTTGTCTGGATACTGGTACTCGAAGCTGACAGAGCCTTGTTTCTTCAGATGAACAGCATAGATGAGAGAGACCGTGCATTCATCCCTGTTGGACTCCAGATAGCTTCCCTGAGGCACCCAGGTAGAACTGCAAAGGAACACATGTGTAATTGGTTTTACACTTTCGATCCGGATTTTTGTTTTTTCTCGGCGTCTTTAACTGCCCACCTGTTGCAGGTGAGCCTCTCGTCTCTGTGGGGGTTGTACTCCAGTGAGGTTGCCAGGCTACTGAATCCAGCAGGCATGGAATCCCATTGGTCAAAGCGGATGCCGCTGCCGAGGGAGTAGCTTCCCGCTGCGCACGGGGTGCACTCCTGAGCCGACATCTCCAGGAACTCCCCGGCCTCGCAGGAGAAGGCTGGAGGACACGGAGTGGCGAGGCACAGCGGGGGTTGCGGAAGGAAGAGGAACACAAGTCAAAATTTGGAACTGCACAGTGTAGATGACTGAGGAGCAGCCGTGCAAATCGCTGCTGCTCTCCGTATAATGCAGCCACAGTGATCGGGGACTTAATCCTCACATCCTGTTACACACTGGGTCTGTCTCAGCGCGTTTTGCTCACCCAGCAGCCCTCGCGTATCCTGCCAATGTTTCACAGTCTTTTCCTCATACCTGAGCTGGTCAAGATGCCATTGTGAGGCTCCACTGTGAGTTAACAACCAGTGCTAGATGTGTGGGTGTGCAATTTGTGCAGCAAAACAAAAGCACTTTTGTTCACGTGTGCAGCAGGAAGGGATTGTAATGTGTGATTTGACATAATTTGATGTGACACTAATTTCCCTTAAAAAAAAAAAAGATCTTTCAATGCATTACATCACAGGCACAGCATCGTCATATCTGATGCAAGATTCTCATCCAATTGCTATGCTGAAATATATTTCGGCTGTTTTTAAAGAAATCTGTTAAAGTTGAACAAGAAGAAGGACATAGAAAATGTTTAAATAGCTAAAAGGTGAGGTACATACAGCTAGAAGCAATGTGGACCAAAGAATTCTCATATCATCTTCCTGATCTACTGTTATCATGAGAAACACCAGCTGTCAATCAACATGAAGCCCATTTTGTGAGTTATCTTTCCCTTTCTTAACACGACGAATTCCCCAGTGATCATCTCAACTGAGACACTGGTGAGGTGGTAATGTCACAGCGCAGGACAATCCTGTTCAATAGGGAGCTCAAATCTGCCTTCCTGGAGCTGTCACGATGAGGCACAATTGAAGTGTCTTTGAGCACCCTCCTCTAAACAGAAATATCTGAGCCTCTGCGACTCACCTTTTACTAGCAGACCCGTTTCCATGGCAAAACACCAGCACTGATCTGGTTATTGAAAATGGCCTTTGAATGTTTTTAATAGACACTTACTGCACTCTGTGCCATGTACTGGCTCTGGTAGTCCGGTGCAAGCCCCAGGGCTTTGTGGGATGGGTACCCTCCAACGAGACCCCGTGCTGTCACACTCGGTGTACTCGTAGTAGTAGTCCGTCTGCCAATGAAACACACACAGACACAAAACATCTGCATAAGAAGTCTTAACAATTAGCAAATGTAGGCCGGAAGCAGGCCACTAAACAGAGGCCTCCACCCTCATCAGAGCCCGGAGTCCTTTAATTGTGGAGGAGAAACATCAGAGCAGACTGAATATCAGTCTGATATCAGAAACCAGCAATGAATCCAACTTCCGTTACCAGCTGCTCACCGGCTTTTAAAACACAAGCCACCGTCACACACTGTGTCATCTCTTTAGCCGCAGCCCCTCTTCTGCTCTGGGAGGCACAAGCACAACACACCATCTCCACGGCGACGGGAACAAGTGGGGTGACAGCAGGCAGCTCTTCTCACATGTTCTGTTTGACCCTTTAGACATTTGATGAATATAATTATGATCCATCATCTGGAGCAGAAGCCCGTGAACTTGATGTTGCCTCCACAGGACCCCTTTCTGTATTTATATCTACAGAGCAGGGTGGCCTGATTTCTGAAAGTTTACATAATGTTGCTCCTTGAGCCAAACCAGATTTTGACACTGAAGCACATGCAGGCTGTTGTATGTGTGCAGAATGAACTTTATGTCTGTGGGTCTGGACATGGAACTCTGTCGCACTACTAATAATAATAATAATAATGAGGCGGAATTGAGCAACTGCCAAACAAAGCACAGCTGCACTTATTCCAGATACTAGAAATGTTTAAGAATACAGTCGCGTGCTGAAACCATCTACCGGGGCTCCTAGAAGAGTTGTGATGTCACATCTTTGTCATCCCAGAAAATGCGTCACCATGAAGCCCTTCACTGGAGTGCTGCAGCTATCTCTCAACAAGCGCGACAAGAGAGATTGTGCCGACAACTGGGAATGTGGCTGCTCTCTATCGTGGGACCGTGTGTCTGCTTTGAGCCTGGACCCGGGAGGTGCTGAGCTGAGCCGAGCTGAGCTGAGCCAGACCAGAGGGAAGGAAAGGCCGGGGTCCATGCAGGAAACTGATAACAGCCTGAACAAATACTCCAGTGGTGAAGTTCAACAGAGCTCATCTGCGATGTGCGTTGTTGCTGTTGTTGTTCTCTTAACAAAAGACAGCAAATGTATAAAAAAAGGACGCACTTCGCGCAAGATGCAAAGGACGATGCCATAAATTGACCCGGAAACGTGTCATCGATTGTAATCGTATTGGACGTGGATTACCAACCCACTCTCAGCGTGTGAAGGCGCAGCAGCCCCAATCTGTGCGCGTTTCCCATCCCCGTTCCTGCGCCTCCGACGGGTCGGGCAGCGCCATCTCTCACCTCGCCACAGAGCCGATGTCCTCTGGTCCCGTCAATCAACCGGAGCGCGCAGAGGATGAGGAGAGCGTAATTGGCGACGAACCAAGCCGAGGACCGCATCGTGGATCCTCGAGTGGGAGAAAACAGCAGCAAGCCACGATCCGGGACGGGCGAAGCGAAGCGGGTCGCGGAGCCGAACCAGCAACCAGTGGGGACCGTCTTCCGTCGCCTCCCGTGGGCAGATTGCAACCCCACTAACCACCTGCGATTATCCCCGGTCTGTGCGCCCCAGTGCTGCCTCGGCGCAATCAAACGCAGCAGAATAACGCACTACTTCCGGTGATCTTTTATTTTTTCAAAGTAAAACCCGTGATGGAATTGTCAGTCACCGATTTAGATTTTCCGGCTTTTTTTGTGTTACTTTGATTGCATTAGGATTCTGTTTTTATGTCGTCCACACCCGTTTCAATTTCCTCATTTTCTTAAGATTAACCATGTTTGCTTTATTTTGAAGGTCAAACTGAGAGTAATTCTGTCTTTAATGTGTGTAACTCTTATCGATCAGTAAAAAAAAAAATCAATATTTTGATCATGATCATCATCATAGATACTGTGCATTCCGTCCCGACGCTGAAAACCAGCCTGGTTAGATTGGATCGAGATCATTTGCAGTCCACGTAACTGAGCGCCAGAGGGAACCGGAGCTCTTCCTCATCATCGCGAAATGGATTATATACACTGCGGTATCATTGTTCTGCCTACAATGAGAACATTCTGTTCGCTCATACATGGTGAGCAACTAAGAATATGCCCCTTTCTAGTATTACTTCATTACTTATCAATGCAACAGCAATTATATCAGGTAAGCTTGCTGAGAACATTTATGTATCAGGTTTATATCTATACAATTAATGTGGGTATGACTGCAGTTGACCCATATTTCCGGGTTTCCCGATTTGTTTCTATTTCTTTCTCTTCGAACACAGAGATTATGGTTTAGGTCTATCAATTGAAACACTACTCTTGGTGTGGTATTCTGATATTTCGGTTGTGATATTTACCTGTATTACCACTCCACACCACAAGAGGGTTAGTTGACCTTCACGGTCATTAGGCATGTCAGTTGTTAGATACTGTTCAGAAGAAGAATAACCCGCTGTGCAAATGTCCTGTCACGGTGCACTAAATAAATTATAACTATGATTATCAAGAGTGGTTTAGTATTTTAAATACTGAAGTTACCACACTTCAATCAATCAAACAACAGCATAGAATGTATTACTGTATTCAATATATATACAAGTTAAACTCAAATGAATCACATTTAGTCATTTTTGTGCATTTTAGCACAATGTTCTAGAGGTACAGGATGGAGGAATGTCCTAGGGGTCCCTGTGGTTTTGGTTGTCTCTGGCAGGTGCTGATAGGAGTGTCATCAGCTGGATGAGCCACATCTGAGTCCAGGTGTCACTGCCTTAAATACATTCTCCATTTGGCACCACGGGAGGTTGGAGGGGGATGAGCCTTGGGTCTGGTGATACCTCCACATTGCATTGTTTGATTGCGTTTTCTAACAATAAATTGTTTCCTCTTCGCTTGCTCGTTTTTCTCCCGGTTTTGTTGCAGTCTGAGAGCCGGACTGTGACAGATTTTACCTTTATTTGTCAGGTACATCTTGCTTAAAGTCTAAAAACCATTCAAGGGATCCTGTCTGCAGGAGGGATATGATATTTAGATGTGTTCTGGACAATGGGTCTTCATCTATTTGTGGTGCTTTTTAAATTGTTTTAACATTAAACTGAGGAGAGTTGTTGCTTCAAGGACGGTGTACAAGGACCTATTTTTTCATATTCACACAAAACCAATGAGAAAGTTCTTCAGAAATAAATATTTTTCACAAAATACTAAATGATTAAATACACCAAATTAATTGAATGAATAAATAATAGGTTGAAAGTTCAGTTGTAATAGCATTTCATTTTTATCTTTTATCTCTCCCCTCCTTTCTCTTTCTCATCTGATGCCTATCGTTTACAGGGTTTGCCTGTAACTTGAACTCTCATTTTCAACGATCGGCTGCACTTGAATTTTTACACTCTAAGCCTCTGCTCTGTGATCAGATGATTAATTAATAGTAGTGAGGTCTATTGGGGAAGTATATTAGCAACTGACCCTGAGTCAGGTGGTAACCAGAGTGCCTGTGGCCCTGTCCCTGTCGCCCCAAAACACAAGAGACCAGGGACTACCGGGTCAAGATATTAGACACTCAGCTCTGACACACTGCAGCTCACGCATCCTGAGACTCTCTCACACACACACACAAGGGTTTTTCAGGAAAGGAGAGGAAACCAAGAGTGGTCGAAGCCACTAACAACCAACCAGGCTGGGGATCTATTTTCTTTGAAAGAGAGAGAGAGAAGATGATGTGATCAGAGATCAGCTGACCGAGGGGTTGCCTACACAATCCTATTACAATCCGTAATGGGGCGGACAACCGATGCTTCACATAACGAGAAGACATGCGGAAATGGAGGACAGGTATTGAGGATACTTGTTGGCATGGATCAAACAAAATGTCTTCCCTGGATAAAGAGGTGTCTTCATTTCACACGTAGCTTCAAAAGTGTGGGAAATAATTTGCACGTTGATGTTAGTGCAAGCTTTTATTTCACTATTTGCTTTTGTCAATTCTGAATTCCCCAGTATGCACGGACTACCTTGTGCCTCTCTGGGACACTGTTTTGGGCATCCATCTGATGTTAACACTGATCCAGCACCTGCTCAAGACTCTAACTACTCCAAACAAAACAGAAATGAAAGCAGACTTGCAGCAGCAGACCCAGTCATATCCCAACCAGACGCTGCACCATGCAGCGCACAGCAGCAGCGCTACAAACACCCTCAGAAGAATGTCAACTATATCACCGACCACTCCACCAGAACCCTAAAAGTTACCAACTCACACTCTGTCTGCCACCGGCAAGAAGTAGATGAAGACCCATCCTTTGAGTCTCCTCCGGCCTGCCACAGCCCGTCCCAGAGCTCGGAGGTTGATGAGGAGGGGGAATCCCGTCCAGAGACGGAGCTGAAATGTCCTCAAATTCCCAGACCATCTATTATTATCAGACTGTGTAAGGTAAGATGGTGGTGATCAGTGAATTTGGTTTTCATAATATAAATTAAATAACAAACAATATAATGACATAATATGACAGGAGGTAAATCAGCTATAATATATCCACCATTCTAATGCAGTTGTTTGATGTAATGCATTATATCACCACAAGGTGGATGTAGATCCACATTGAAGCTCCTCATATGCCTGTCGGGCACTTCAGGATTTAATAAATTACCTCTCATTAGAAAACAAAACATTCTAATCAATGAGATGTAAAGCTCTGAAAGACAACACCTGTTTGCGGTGAGAGAAGACATTGACTATATATTGGATGTCAGTGAAATGAGTCCTGATCTCCTGTTCAACACGATATGTGAATCCTGATCCCTCTAGTCTAAACACACACACACTAGTGGCTTTGTCTCTGTGTGTGTGCTTGTACATATGGGTCAGCTAATAGATTTGAAGCCCAAAATTTGACTCTCCACTCCACAAGAACCGGATGACACGTTTATGGAAGCTGTGGCTGCCTGGTTTTGATCAATAATGCTGATCAGCAGTGGATACTGCAGAAGAATGAAATGAGGGAGGGGCAGGTTTTAGGAGGAATCCCAGAATTAACCCTTTTGATAACCTAATCCAAAGGGAGACATTTCATCACCAGATGTTCAGACATCTGGTGGCTTGATTGTTTTATACCAGAGGATTGTAACCATTTCGATCTGAGTTGAGTATTAAACACATGGTGTATTTATTGTGTCGGTTGGATGAGAGGATTCCTTTAGCCACTAAAAAAATTGAGCCAACTGCAATCATTGCTCAACAATCTATGTAAAGGCACCATTTAACTAGTTTGCACCACTCCACAATGTATCCAATGGAGAACAGGCATGATCTGAGCGTGTACGTTTACCGTTCGTAGGGCTCCATCTTCTCATCAGCTGACTCCCTTAGAAACCACAGCCGAGGTTCTTATTAATGCCCTCTATTTTGAAGAGCTCAGACCGCTGAGTGTGAAAATACAGTAATTTCACAACAGGCATATTGTGAAACGGCTCTACAATGGGTCCAGAAAGAGAAACGAGTAGGAGTGCGTGAGCACGACAGTCCGGCGTGTCATTCAACATTCTGCAATTACTGCGACTTAATCATTAGTGTATTTGTTAAGATATCCGGCGCTGCAACAGATATAGCTTTGATCTCCTGGGCCCTGATGCTTTATCTATCTGCATGTCCATATCAGAGTGTGACACGGTTGTTGACCCATATCTCAAAGCTGGACGATTTTATGGGACACTTCCAAACCCGGAACAATGGTTAACGGAATGTTCAATCGTAAACAAAACATGCAAAGCCTTCAGTTTTACTTTCTTTGTTTCACACATGCCCACACAGGTACAGAAGTGAAAGATTACTGTTATTATGCAAATGTGTGGGTGGTTTGAACAGGACAACAGGTAGGAAAGAAGACGAACATTGCCTTATGGAACAGGCCTAATCTAATGTATAACAGGGGGTTTTACTGTGTGTTGCATTCAGGAATTTAGGAGAAGGTAAAAGGCTGATTGGCCCAACATTCTTTACGCTATGCAACGCAATAATGTGTGACATCCTGTGTGTCTATATTAGCCAGTGTGCTAAGATCTTTGACCTGACATTTTGTATGGCCCCATAATTACAACTTGCTTTGTTCACGTTTGAGCAGGCATGCATGTGTGACTTGTTATGCCCATTAGATTGATGTGTGTTTGTCATGCATGTCTTGATGGGACGGTATCTCTTTGTGTTCCCTTCCCAAACACTCCCCTCAGGAGTCAGCATTCCAGGAAACAGCGTCTGACGGGTCGGACGGAAGGGAGACGGAGGACGGAGGGTTATCAGGTACGGAAAACAACACTGGCTTCCTCCTCTTTTTCCCTCTGTGCCCCCTTTCTCCACCTCCCGCTCCTCATTTTGAGCACAGATTTGACAATGGAAAAAGGTTTTGTCTGGAACCGTCCTCTGCTGATGTGAGATTTTTATGGGGAGAGGAAAATGTTTTGGAAAAGACTCGCTGTGCATGTGAGGAAACGGTCGGGTTCACACAGTCGTGCCCCCAATGTTCTGTGTGTGTGTGTGCAGTGTGTGTTCACTCACCTTGCCGGTCTGGGAGGAACTAAGTGCTGGTGGTTACCTTGGCGATGAGTCTTGGGGCAAAGCGCTGGGAGGGCTGGAGGGCTACAAACGGGTAAAAGGATTGAGCTGAGTGCCCCGATTAATAATGTGATAGGGTGTGTACTTTGTGTGTCTGCGAGAATGGCTCAAATGTGAGCAGTGTGTGTTACAGTAGACCTACAGGAGAGGCTGAGGAGCCCCGTCTGCAGTCAAGCTCACTGCCTTTTGTCTGCCAATCCTGTCTGAAAACGTTACAAGCAGGGCTGTAGTGGAGGGTAAACGCACGTAAACGCCGTTTACGCACCTCTAGAATTTTGGAAATAGCGTTTACGCACCTATAAATAGCGTTTACGCACCTCTAAGTGGCGTTTACGCACCTATAAATAGCGTTTACGCACCTCAAAGTTCCCTGCGCCTTGTATTCTTCCGTTAGAATAATCCGAAATACACTTGGTGTAATTTTAAAACAGCTAAGGTACGTTTCCTATTGTTGAACATATAAACGGCGTAGTCTGAATCATGTTCATCTGCGCTGTATTACGGTCTGTGAGCATCCAATCAGTGCCTTGCGGCTGCAGCAGCGACCAATCAGGATCCAGGAGGCACATACACGCTGTGGATCAGCCCAGTGTGATTGACAGGCTACTTAACTGGTTAACTCTTAATTCAACATATTTGTTCAGGCAGTGAGAGGACAGGCAATGATGCAGAGAGCACAGGGAGAGAAACACCAGGCCCAATAGAGAGAGAAGCACAGAGGAGCCATGAACCCCAGAACGCCTGTTCTGGGGTTCATGGCTCCTCTGTGCAAGGCAGGACCTGACGTGGAGGACAAGGAGGCCCTCTGTGCACTACTGTGAAAAGGAGACTCCGTATGCAGATAGTTCTTAATCTGCTATTGTGTTGTTGTGTTGTGTTGACATACTTTTCTTTACTGTTTTCTTAAATTTAACATTTAACATAATGCAATATAGCCAGGACAGCCTTACAGAGTCACGACGCTTCGCATCGCGTTGCTTCGCATCGCGTCAAGGTCTGTATGATCACAAAATTCAGAGTTTACCCACCTCTAATTTTACCACTACAGCACTGGTTACAAGGAACAGATTTTAAAGGGCAGGGATGGTAGATATAAACATCTACCAAATAATGAAGTCCATCATAAGAGAACATGTATCTATAACTTTAAGGTATAGGGACATGGAATTTAAGGTGAAAGACGGAACTCCTCTGCTGTACGGCGGATCAACAGGCAGATTTAGTTAACCAAGCGCTGATATTAATGCTTTACTAACCCAGTATGGCGGTTTAGGTGCTTTTAAAGGACTAACTATGCATCAAGCACACTCACGCACACTAAAAGAAGAAACATGAGAACATCTGCTCCAGGAGGTCCTCTAAGAGTTGTAATATCCACACAAAGGGCACAACTGAGGTCTTTTTATTCCAGTGACAAATATTTTAACAATGCATGCCGCTTTTGGGAAAGATTATGATGCACCAGGGGGTAATGTAAGTACAGAACCTCCTCTGTCTCTCTCTCTCTGACACACACACACGCACACAATTGTCACACTGACCTTGTTTTCCACAGGCACAGACACAGAGAGGAATACATGGCTGTGTGTCTCCTACAGGCGCTCACCCAGGCCTGCTCAACTCTTACATTAAAACTTTATTATTTGTGTCTCATTTGTTTCCATATAGTTTATGATTAACAGCTGAATTAGATAAAAAAATCTAAAAGCGAACAAATAAATAAAGTAACCAACATGTCCATGCTAGGAGGAAGGTTTTGAGTTTGTTTGCACAGTGTGCGCGCGTTCTTGGTAATAAAAGCATATATGTCTTTATTTAGAAATGGTACTGGGAGTCATAAATTATTCAATTTGTGTATTCATGAATGCAGTGTTCCTAATTGTTTGAACATATGTGTGGTTTAAAAAAAAAAAAAAACGTATAAACTTTATATGACATGGCAAGTTTTGGCCACTTTTGTCCAACTCTGTGGACATTTCAGCCTCACTGTACTGTAACGGAGCCATCTGCTCTGGTTCCTGCTGGCAGTCATCAGAGTGAGGGGAGAGGCTCTGTACAGTAAAGCTTAATAAATCTGGGTGGCTTGACCAGTAATAACAGCCTCTGCAACAACACATGAGGACTGCAATAAAATGATTGTAACTCAATCTTTTTGTATGCCCTCTCTTGCATGACATTCAAACACTCACAGGTACAGTATGGATAAAGTATAAAGGCAGGAAATGGCAGTCTGTCTTTTTATCAGTTACTCTGAAGTGAATCATAAGTCTTTTGAATAGATGGGAATTCTTTGTGAAATTGGCCTCACAAACAGATAAGAGGAAAATAAAACTGTAACTGTAAAGTAAAGCTACAACCTGCCAAATTATATTTTTGATTACACAGGCCCTGAAAAAGTGATCATGTTAAATGAAAATCAGATTTATTAGTCACATTATGGCTCTAGGGTAGGATTTATGTCTTTCTCTCTGCTAGCACAGATAGTCATAATCAGAGAAATGTCTGGGTTGGTATTAAAAGAGACATCAGGAAGTGAGAACTGCAAAGAAAAACTAAATGACAAAGAATAAAATAGCATCAGCTGATTAGAAAAACAGAAAGAGAAGGTTATGAAGCTAAGGAACAAGAGACTATTCGCCTTGAGAGGCTGACGCAGCACTGACTCCACGAACCTCATCCAGCCAGGCGTCGGGGTGTTTTGTGTTTTGTTTGTGTGCGTGTGTGTGTGTCTGCATCTGGGCAGAAAGGGACACTGGGGTGTGAGTCATCCAGTAGTGATTGAATTAGCTGAACTTTGGCTGAACACTCAAAAGTGAAAAGAGGAACACGTAGGAAAAAGGGAATGCATCACGTTCCCCCAGCTGGTAAACCCATCTCGGAGAGAGACAGGCTGACAGTAGGATTATTTTAAAAAATCCTTCTGCTTTATAACAGAAACAAGAGCAAACATCCTCTTTGTTATGTGCACACATATCTCACAATATTTCTTACAGTTACCTAATGGCAATTTTGTCCAAAACAAACGTTATAGTTCCAGAATCTTATCGCAAGTTTTATCTCGTGGTTTCTCGCGGTGAGGTTGTGATCAGTCATGATGGAGAAAACACAGTGGAAAGAAAGCATTAAATGTGTTTGGGACGATTGAGAAAAAGAAAGAAAATGTTGACTTTATGTTAAAAAAAGAAGGGCTGACGATTTCAACAAATGTCTCAAATTCAACCATGAACCATTTTGTGGGTGAACTGCTAGTGTAAACCCACACTCATTCACAACTAGGTCACAAGTACGAAACTTAAACGGAAACCACTGAGGTCGCTGCACAAACAGGCCTGTTGCCATAGCAGTTAGGAAGTGCTTTCTCCCTGTCATGGTGAAGGTTGTCTGTTTAAAATATGTCTTTAAGTCTTTTTTTAAGGTTAGACAGTCAAAAATAAATCTGTCAGGACGCGGTTACATCAGTATATTAATGTATGTTCTTTTTTCCGTTCAAATGTGGTTTCACAGTTTGTAAAACACTTGGCAGATGTTAGATGACTCAATTGCTGTATTTACATACTACTTTTGGAATTTACGCAAATCGACAGAGCAGGGTAAGTATGACTTTACTCTGACTTTTGGGTTTCTCGTACTTGTATGTGCACTGCATGCACATTTGTTTCCTGCATGGTGGAAGCTCTGAAGTTAGCTCTTAGTCATTACACTCCTAAATTATGAGAAATCCATACAGATGTTACCCCCAACTCCCACGTGTTTGTGAATTAAAGCTCATCCTGCGGTCCTTTTCTTTTGTGTGTCCTTTCCAGTAAGCCTGCATGGTAATATTCCAGTAAGCCTGCTCTGGTAATATGTTGGCAACTTAGGTCCTTAACTTCATACAACGTGGATTGAACCCAAAGAGATGTAGAGAAGAAAGACGTGTGCTGCCTGAAATAGGCACAGCATCTGAGGAGACACCGTGAAACTATAAAGTTTTGGTGAGCCGATTTAACAGAAGGGTGGTGGATTAGGAGATGCACTGATCCGTCAACAATAAGCAGATTACTCGTCATCTCAAAGAATGCCCGGGATGTTCAGTCTGGGAAAATAGCAGATAATAGAGGTGAAGTGTTGTGATCAAAGGGATGAATTAATGATATTCTCTTAAGGGTGGTCTGCAAACTGTTCTTGTATTGTTAGAGAAATAATTTTTGAAGGACACTAGTCACAAGTAATCACAAAGGCCAGACAGCAGACACAGAGCAGCGCTAGTTTTGGGACCACCATCATGAATAAAAGTAAAAAGCAATGCTGCTTTTACCTCTGATTTACCGACTAGTCTTGCAGGATCTATTGGTGGGGGATTTTCAGTGTGTCAATCATGACATCATTGCGCTCATCAATCATGATGAGCGCAATGAAAGTGAATTCAATTGCCTTAAAATCCAAATCATTCATGGTGCTGCTTACTGGAAGGTAACGGGGTAAAGTATGTTAAAGGGCCACAGCCATAGCTGTGTAGTTAAACCTATAGGTTAAAACTCCAGCAAACCATATTCATCATATTCCAGTGTTCAAATAAATTAAAATATCACAACAACATTTAGGAATATATGAGTTGGGATGTTGGGATCAGGCGAAATAAAAAAATCACTCACTTTTACAGGCGTTTTTCAGCCATGCACAAACACCCTCGACATGTTTATTTGTGTGTGTGGGGGGGGGGGGGGGAGGATGCCTCTCTATCCACACCCCGCCCTTCACTCGAGGAGTCCCCGCTCGTGTTTTCAGCAAATGAAGGCAGAAGAAGAAGGAGGAGGAGGAGCCTTCACGTGACGTCACTCCATCCCTCCCACCCATGTTAAATTTACATTTTCTATGGGTCCTGACTGAGTGAGCGTGTGCGTGCGCGCACTACAGTTAGTTCACCAAACCAGAGTCTGGCGGACACACCTCGAGCCGTGAAGTGACCCCGAGACCCGCCGATGAAGCCGGAACCACTTTGCCATTTTAAATATTAAACAACTCGAGTTGGAGAAGTCGGGTCGAGGTCGACTTTGAGGTAAGGTGTGTACGTGTGTGTCTGGAGCGCGCGTGTGTATGTGTGTGTGTTTTTTCCTCCACCACTAACAAAAGCAGCACGTTTCAACTGTTTTCTTCTCGTGTCGGCAAAAGCAGCAGCTTTTAGTTGTTTTAAACTGAAAAAGTGACGACGAAAAGAAAAGACAGAGGAGAGAGAGAGAGAGAGAGAGAGAGGGTGAGATTGCAACAAAAAAAAGATACAAACTGACGGTGAGGAAACAACACGTTGAGGCTGTTGTTCAGCGTGGACACACTTGGAAGGACACTATTCATGTCACTCAATGCTCCCGTACGCTCGGACAAGAAACAAATCAGTGTGTACTGTTACTGGGGTTCGGAGGGAATGATACCGGTGTTTATGGTGCATGTTGTGTTCACGCGTGTTAATACAGTTGGCAGCATCTGCAAAAAAAATTGTGTAAAAGTATGAAACCACGCTCTTGTTTTTATACAATATTCATCCATCCCAACATCAGAGTGCTTTACGAGCTGTACAACTGTGCTATTGTCTTATGTTCTGCCACAGTTAATAGAAAATAGGGTAAACTTAAGTTTAACTTCCAAGACAACGTATTGTGCAAACCATATTGTATGGATGACTTGTATCTGAGGCCCTCGTGTGTGTGAGTAGGACTTGTATGACTGCTGGCTTGTGTGTGTGTGTGTGTGTGTGTGTGTGTGTGTGTGTGTGTGTGTGTGTGTGTTGAAGCACATGGCCTCAGTCAGAGCTGACACACTGGCCACTGCTGTCACCAGCCTCAAACCCCACCTGGCATGTCACGAGCTGTGTGTGTGTCTGTGTATGTGTGTGTGTTTGCGTGTGTCACATTTCTGACTGTGGTAGTTCAACTGTGGTTTGTCACGTGGCTGCAGTGAGGGGAGAAGGTGGCATGAATGAGTGTGTTCTAGGCGTCGAGGGTGTGCAGGGAGGGGAAGGTGTCTCGCACACGTGTGAGTCGTTTAGAACAGAGCTTCGGTTAAACCATTTACATCTGTTCTCTGATATTTGAACCCCCCCACCCACCGTCCCTCCAAATCTCGTGTTTCTCTCTCCCGCTGTCTTCTTCTCCCTCCTGAAAAGGCTGATGCTGTCACCGCGCGTGTGGGTGTGTTTGTGCTTTTGTGGGTGTTGCAACTGGAAGGCTCTCTGAATTATGATCACACTCAAAGGCCTTTAAAAAAAAATGTTAATGAAATGTCTGAGTTTCCATCCAATAATAGCACGAGTCCATATGTGGTTCTAGTGCAATTTCTCAGATGTATCATTTGAAGAGTCTGAGTCCATGTTAAGGCCTGGAGCTGACCTCAAGAAAAGCAAGGTATTTAGGTCAGGAATGTGTGTGTGTGCGCGTGTGTGTGTGTGTGTGTGTGTGTGTGCGCGCGCGCGCGCGCGCGTGTGTGTGTGTGTGTGTGTGTGTGTGTGTGTGCGCGCGTGCGCGCCCGGGAGGGTTAAATGGCTGCCACATGCATGTTGACAGTGTTATCTCCTACAGTCCTGCTGCTCCTTCTTATTAGGAGGTTCTCCTTTGTTTACACGCTGGTACAGAAAACCCCAATAACAAGTGTTACCTTGAGCAACCAGACAATCCACAGACACACGGGGCAGGAGGCTGATCATCACACACACACACACACACACACACACACACACACACACACACACACACACACACACAAGAGTCTTTGTTTTATCTGGCTCTATGTCCTATGCTTCACAAGACCCAAAATGCTCAGTGTGTATATGCATATTTTTAGCTGGGATAGTAGGCAATCATGTGGTTCCAAAAACCTGCACACATGCGGATTATCAGGCTGTGACGGGGACTTGGCGCCGTTCTTCTGACGTACATTACCATTTGTGTTGTAATACAGCGGGATCATGTATCGAGAAAGAAAGTCAATTCCCTGAATCGTGACATCATGATATAAAACCATGTCAACAAAAGCACAATTTAAAAACAGATCCTTTGTCTGTGGTTGCATCACTTGGATTTACATTGCATCATATGTAATATGATTCCAATGATCAAGTCTCTTAACAAAAACAACCAAATCTAAAAGATTATTAAAACAAGCACCAATATCATTGATGGATCTGTGGTTTGTTCTGAAGTGAATTTATGTGACCATGGATTAGTAATTCCCATGCTCGTAATGGCAGTCTTTGTCTCAGGGAGGTGACCCAGCTGAGGGAAACCCTGGGTCAACTCGACATATTCTTTAGCTAGATATTTTCTGGTTTTAGTTATAAACTCTACACTCAAACCTTTTTGTGAGGCAAATTTACTTGCATGTTGTCGTTTTTGTACAGACAAAACTGAACACTGCTGTATTTGTTTTGTTGGAGTAAAGCCTGGTTCATGGTTATGCGTTTTTGTGCTTTTTTTTACCAATTTCTCTAGCGTCAAAAGCTACGCAAGCCTCACGCAGCCTGCAAGGCTATGTTTGGTCTGCTGACTACATCCTTTACAGAGTCTCACATTTCCGGTTTCATAGCATAATACCGCCATTTTTTAAAAGAAGATTTTTGAAGAGAGAATGAATCTGATTGAAGAGATTTTGTCGAAAGAAATCCGGAAATATGACCACTTAACCACACAAGCAGTCATTGGCGGACTATACGGATCTCCGCAAAAGTCGGATTGGCGGTCGAGGGGTTGAACAAAGTTGTGGAGGACTTTGGGTCCTTCAAGGTGTATGTGGACAACAAGACCGGGTAAATAAACAAACCAACGACTTCCACACACACAAAGACGTCATTCTCTAGGTCGTCTTCAACAAAAAACAAAAACGTTCCTCCACCTATTGTTCTGGCGGTGAATTGCTCTGCAACACGCGCAAACCCTTTGAGAACCATGAACTAAAACGAGTTCATCGACACAACTGTGTGAAAAGCCTCAGAAACATGCCAGAGCCGTGAGAAAAAAAAGGTATATGAAGAGAGAAAATTTGAGTCAACATAAACTAACTTTTTCCCCCATGCAGACTTGTAGTGGACGGAGTGCAGCTGTGTTTACTAAAACCAGAAGCACCTCCGTCTTGGTGCAGAGACCCTGTGAAACGCTACGCTTACATGGCGCTTTACAGGGGAAAAGACTCTTTGCAAGAAGGTAGTCTTCCACCGAGAGAGAACAAACTGCCAGCCTTCTTTTGCACACGGCTCTGTTGTATGTTCTGAATGTTAGATGTAGCCACGCCCCCTGATTTGCATATAAGAACGTGAAATGTAAAACGGCATTATGAAATAAGTCTCTGGAAATGAAAAACGGCCTTATGAAATAAAAGACTCTGGAAATGAAAAGTGGCTTTATGAAATAAAAGTACCATGAAATGAAAAGTGGCATTATGAAATAAAAGTACCATGAAATGAAAAGTGCCATTATGAAATAAAAGTACCATGAAATAATTAAATGTATTTAATATTTATATATTTATTGCATTATGAAATAAAAGTACCATGAAATAATTAAAGGTATTTAATATTTATGTATTGTATGTATTATTGCCTCATTTATTTATTTCATGATGTATTTCAAATGCATATTTCATGTATTTACGTATTTATTCATTTATTTAATTTTGACTAAAATGGCATTCCATAGTGACGGTGCTCCAGAAGGGAAAAGCAGCAGTAAAGCACAAAGCTTTGAATGTGTAACTGTAGCAGACAGCAGAGCCGTAAAAAAGACTCCTCCTCCTTCATGAGCGAATGCCACTTCACGCTGCTGAGCAAGACCGAACCGCTGTGGCTCTTTTAACTGTATGGCTTTTACCCCACCATGGAGGCAATAATCGGAACTTCATTTTAAAGGGCTTGGCATGTGTGAGCATTGGGCACATGTTTACATCTCAGTGAGGACGAGCCACTTGCAACACGCGTGTGCTCCGTCTCGTTGGGCGTGTCTTCGTAGCGAAACTGCGTCAGCCCAGCTGTTCTCAAAGGGCCTATACATATAAATACAGCACCATGTGTCTGTGTCAGCTGTGAGAGAGTATAGAACAGCCTTTTGTATTTGACTGAGAGGTGCGACACCAATCTGTGGCGCCTCAGATTGTCAGCACATGTGTTCAGAATTTGGTTGGCGTAAGCGCTTTGATTTTTAACCTATTTTTAAGGAGAAATGCAAATCATTCTCACTCAGTGTTAGTGGAGGAATATATATGTGTGTATATATGTGTGTGTGCGTGTGTGTGCACTTTCATCACATTCCCGCTGCGTGACTCAAAAGTGGTGTCTGTGTCTTTTTTTTTTTCAATGCAGCCCATTCACTGTGTAATCTGCCCCAGCCTGTGGCTCACAATGCGTGGCGACAGGACGGCGCATGAGCCACCGCGGTAAATACCTTCAGTCAGTGGGGTGTATGAGTTGTCAACACTTGCATGTTTTAAGTCAAAAGGGGGACATCACAGTACAACCTGTTCAATTTGGGATTATCTTCTTTCCGGTTTGAAAAGCAAAATGTTTAATCTTCATCCAAAGACGTTGGGTTATGTCAACCGACACGTGTGCAGCTGCTGTTGTGATCGATTCTCAAAGGCCAGATATGGAAGCAGTGAAACTGTCATTCAATCTAACAAAAGAAAAACGGCAGTGTTCAGTGTTGCTGTATCGCTGTTAAAAAAAGCTCCCAAAAAGGTGTACAATTGGAAAGTTTAGAACTTCTCTAAAGCGTATGAGAGGGTCTTCCCAGTGTTTTTATAGTGGAGGTGGTCCGCTCCCCCCAAATCAAAGACCTGCTCCATGACACACGTTTATGAAAGAAAGTGGTTTTCAGGCAGTATTTCAGTGCAGGTGAGTGTGGCTTTTCATAGGGCCAGATGTCCCGGTGTGTTTCCGTCTGTAGGGGTTATGACACATGTTTCTGCACAGCATATGAGAAGTTGTCTTGCAACGGTTCCTCTATTTCATTATTCCAAATGAAGACATCTGTTTAAAAAAAATAATTAAAGGGTTGTTTTAACCAACATGTATAATTAACAATAAACATATTTTATTCGGATTGACTGGATTTGTTTCTGAAGAGAACTGCTGCTTCCCAAATACCACAAGAAATATCAAAGCTGTTTATGCTGTGTGTATACACGTTAACACCAATATGTCTGTAATTAACTAATCCATCAAGATCTGCTGGTTATTGATATTTACTCCCTGTGAAGGGAGAAAATGTTTTCACCCCAATCATTGGGCAGCCAGAGAGATAAAGAAAAGAGCCGCGTCAATTCAGATGTTTTAAAAATATATATATATATATATATTACTCCTGGCATCAAGGCGCAGTAATGAGTTTGGGTGTTTACTTTTCATTATGACATCATACAGAGCAACAATGCTCCCACAATGACATCTGGTTTTTAAACACACACACACACACCGCTTACACCTCCCTCACACGTGTTTTTCTTTTTTTGGGCTGTTTGTTTATGGACCCCATGCAGCACGCATGAACCCTGATTGTAGATTCCCACAGTCCCGCACCGCCCCTGTGACATCATCACATTGTTGGTGCTTTCAGCGGTCGGTGAAAGATGAGGCCCCAGAACTCCCCAGCTCCTCTTCTCCTCTCGCTCAGAAGGCAGGAAATACGAAACAGATTTCAACCCCCCCCCCCCCCCCCCAAACTCCGGAGTGTACATTGAGGAACCATTTCCCTCTTCGCTGTGTCCTCCACAGCGTCTCATAATGAAGTCCTCTTTACCCGAATACTGAGAATGTTAAATTCTTAGTTATTTGACTAAATGCCACACAATGAAGTCTAGTCACTCTATTGTGTTCTGTGTGTAAGTATACATTTGAACTATAGTGACCGCTTTGTGTCCAGGCTGATTGGCTGCTTCTTTCTGTAGTACTGCTGCAGGTTAGTTATTGCTTGCGCACACATTTTTTTATACTGGCTTCGGTTGTGTCTGAATGACAAAGACGGTGGTTCTGCCCTTTGATTAAGTTCTCTTCCGTGCGTCTGTACATCACCGCGCTGTCCACCGTGATTCATGTCGTTGTCACCAGTGGAGGCTCACAAAATGACCACGTACATGCGGACGGCCATCCGGGAAATGAGCTCATTGTCGCTGCTGGGCCCCCCCCAACTCTCCTTCGCCTCCTCTGTCACTTTCTCTCATGCGCACACACACACCTCGCCCTCCCCCAATTGCCCCACAGCTGTCAGTTAAAAGCTTGTGTGTGTTTTAATTAGGGCGTCCACTAGTTATGGCTGAATGGCCGCTTCATTTAGAGGCGCGCTAGGAGACTGTTCAGATCTGTCCAGCTTGTAACACGCAGTGACGGGGAGGGAGGGAGGGAGGGGGGTGGGTGTGTGAGGGAGAAAGAACTGGGTGTGGGGGATGCTTAAGGGGTATTGATGACGCAATTTCCCCCGAGGGGTGGACCTCCCATCTGTGAGTGGAATAGACTGGATCTTGCCACAAAAAACAAGATCCACAGAGAGCAGCTAGAGGAGCGATGTGGGACAAGAGCGCATATGGGGTTTGAGGTTTTAAGACAATGTTAAGACATTTCTTTAGAAATGGACTGTGACTCAAAGCTAGCAGAGCTCATTGTTTTGTTATGTATGTCAGAATATGGGGAATTTATGCCTCTTTGGGGAGTTTCTGCTAGCGTGTCCGTGCTCCAAAACCGCAACTAGCGAAAGTCTAGTTTAGTTTGCAACATGTGCTCACTGAGATTCCAGGCAGAAATGTCTTCCTCATTTAAATAATGAAGTCCTTTTCTTAATGCTAGTGTCCATGAACAGCATACATATATCGATTTGGATAGTGAAATGCTGACGCGTCGTTCTTCATAAGACTGAGCACCTTCTGTGCACCACAGTGGAGAACAAACCCCGATGACGGAGTGGATGTCGCCGGCCGTGTGTTCACGACCAATGACGGCGAACGTCCCGCCCCGTGCAGAGCTCTGGATGGTCTGTGCCCGTATCCTGCAGGAGGACGGAGGATGGCGGGGGGGGGGAGGGGGAGGAAGAGTCAGATGGTGAAGCAGGCCACCAGCTGCTCTCCTTGCCTTATTTTCTCTCAAAGGGGTCTGCGGCAAAAAAATATGGTTGCTGTTGAGTCACATGACCTGGGTTCTCTAAACCCCCCCCCACACACACACGTCCTGTGCTCTTCACAGTTGGGTCAGATGAAGGAGAGGTCTTTTCAAGCGTGCATGTCGAGCTCGTTAGCCTGTAGATGTTCTTCTGTGTTTTGCAGCTTGTCTTGTAAACCAAGTGGCACAGAGGGAGTCGTTTGCTCTGTGCCACGGCCCTGTAGACAACACAGAGCTGAGGGGGTCTGCGTAGTCGGGTGGTAATTCACTTTGGACTTGCCACTACAAGCAACACCTTTCACATGACACATAGCAATTTGGTCCATTATTTGTACTATTACTTCTTTTTTGGGCTCTCTGTGTTAGCTGGCAGCAGCTTCTTCCTGTCCCTGAATGCTGTGTCAGGGCGGATGGCCGGTCTCCATGGCGACTTGGAGAAGATGACAGTTGAGGGGGAAATTGAGAAATCGGTCGGTGTCATGAATGTGTGTTGGTTGTCCAACGTGGTCACTCTTATTTCTCAACTATAAGTAATTTGATCAGCTGTGATGCAACCTGCCACTGTGGGTTCCTCTCACTCTCTCTCACACACACACACCACTGCAGACATGTTTGCCAACCACATTTGTCCATCTACTTTTTTTAAATATATATAATATATTTTGGCAGCTTTTTTTGTTTTTGTTTTTTGTTGTTGTGTGTGTTACTGTGAGTGGTATATTATTCAAAATGTTTTGGTGGATTTTGATATTTCTTTAAACTGCAAGATTATAAACATCCTTTCACAGCATGTGAGGTCAGTCATGAGGATAAGGGGGAGAGCGTAAAGTCTTCAACACCATCTCCTTCTCTCTTTGTTTCTTTTACTACTAGATGCATCTTTGATTGACAAGTTAAGTGTCCATCGACGCATCTGACCCACTTTCTTTTCAATGTTTTTACCAACTTTCGTCTCATTTCATCCTGGAATGCTTTGCATCCTGGACGTTCAGAACACCGTTACATGTGTGGGTGTGTCTGCTGCTCTAAGGGTATGTTTCCACAACCAATAAACAAACAGTTTTAATGGGATTCCTTGAAGTTTTGCCCCGAAAGCTGTGTAACCATATCCACACGCTGACGTGCTGGGAGGTTTGCTTCCACAGAATACAATGTGCAACATTCCAGATATTGATGCATAAAATCTGTGGTATTTGTTGGAGTGGCTGGTCGCCACATCACTGTTGTACCGATCTGAAGCCCACACATAGCAAGACGTGTGTGAAAGGACAGATTGTGATGCATTGAATGCCGTCCACTATCCGACCCACATTGGAGCATTTTAAGTTGTCTATTCGTCTTAAGGTGTTGGAACGTTTTTATCTGAGTAGTGTAAGATGTTCTTTTATATACTCTCTTAAACCTATAGAGCCCCCCTCTGGAATGCATGAGTGTCGCCCTCCTGTGGTGTCTTTAAATCATTGCAGAGACCCTCTGCACGTATGTTTTGCTTTTGAGGACACACTCCCACCCCCCACCTTTTTTGTATTTTGCACGTGCGGTAAAATGCGACTCTGATGCCTGAGACCCACTCACAGGCATGTGAGGACGTGATTGTTTATAAATATGACTCATTCCTCAGACGGAGGGGGGGGTTGATCTATGTGACCACTATTTAATTAGAGTGAATTTTGTGTGTGACGTCCTTTCCTAATATGAGAGTATATTACACGGTAAACAAGACTTTTCATAAGTTGCTTATAAACTCTTGGTCTCAAGATGTACATTTAGAGTGCGTGGGAGGGAGTAGGTGAGGGACAGAGGAGGGGGAGAGAGAGGGACAGTGTGTGCGTAGCTATAAAGCAGACTCTGATCTCCAAGCAGCTCAGTAGCAGACAGCTGTACAGGACAGGACAGTGCTTTTTGATCGCTTTTTCTGGAAAATACATTCAAGATCAAACTATCAGAGATGACGACCGTGTTCAGATACGCCGTCTTTCCTCACCTGCAGGGTGAGTTTAGCCAAGAATGCATTTTGTGCGTTTCTTGTCTTAAATGTTTTGACTAATCTTTTGTCCAATATTCTCTTTTCAATTACAATCTCAGGTTGGATCACTTTTTTTTTTTTTTTTTAAATAGAGAATGTGAACAGACATAAATGTTATTATTTTAAAACTATAAAGGTTTCCTACCAGTAAGGTATTATATGTACCTGTGATTAACATGAGAATGGGTCAAACTTGCTGTAGCTTAGTTATTTCTCAGCTTAATGAGGACCTGATGGTGACCCTTTGGTCCGGAGAAAGTATCTCGACACATGAGCTGGTCGAATTTCTAATAATTAAAGGAAATACTAAACAAATAAAATGACATGTAATAGGTTTCTAATGTATTAAGGCAGTTTGCCCACATTTTAGGGGGCCAATTATGAATCGCATCGATTTTTGAGGTCATGGAAATCAATGGATTGAAACTTCTGACGTGTATCGAAATATTGACATAACAATATGCCTACAAGATATTGACAGTAATGTTCTCACTCATTTCGCTCATTGTGAAAGGGAATAAAATGTTCCTCTTCACTCTGTGGGAACAATTATGTAATTCCAGCGCTGTCCTTCTAGCACTATAGAGACAATTAAAAAGCCTCTGAGCTGGTACCAGAGGATCAGTCGGATGCTCACATCACAGGTTGAAAGAAGAGATAATAGATAAAAAATGCAAATTACAGACTTTAAGAGTTCTCTCCTCGCTGCTTTCAAGCCTTTCGCGTTATAGTGACGAATTGGTCAACTGAAATTGAGCTTCTCTTGTCTTTGTCCGTGCAGATCCGCGTGAGCCTTGTCTGTCGCTGTCACCAGGGAGGAGTGTCATGGCGGAGCCCGACTACCTGGACGGAGACTGTGATGAGCTCATCAAACCTAAAAAGCTGATCAACCCTGTCAAGATCTCCCGTAATCACCAGGACCTGCACCGAGAGCTGCTCATGAACCAGAAGAGGTCAGGAGAAAAGAGAAAAATACAACGTTAATACCTTTTCTGACACTCATTGGGATTCCTCGTTTACTTTTATTAGAGGGTGGAAGATTCATATTTTACAACTAGTAACCAGGAGCTTACAAGATATGGTTGGAAATGATGGTTTATTCATATATTAAGTGGCACAAAATAATTTTCATGTCCAACAGTTTTTACATAATATACATGATGTTTGTGGGTTGGACGGAGGGAAACGGTACGGTGTCCAGATCCAAGCTGGTTTATTTACTAATGGCAGATGAGTTAATACAGCAGCCCTCCTGCTTTCTTGTAATTGGTCTGATTGTTTCCATGCAGACTCTGCTGATACTTGTTGACCACACAGGTCCCTTCGACCTCCGGCAGCAGTATTACGTAATGTTCAGGAAATACAAATTTCACAGTGAAAACGATATGTGCATTAGTGTCTTGATAGATTGGCCATGTAAAGGTCACACACACACACGTATACTCCACAGATGGAGAAATCTGATCTGGCTGCTGATACTAATACTGCGTCATACAATACAGGACCTAATGCGGTTTGTGTGAGCGTCCATGCATCAGCTTGAGAAAACCCTTTTGACACCAAATGTTTGTATTTTCTCTCACCAAACAGCGGCGGCTGCTTTGTGCCTGAGCTATAAATAGCTACGTCAACACGGATGGTGTTGGCAGCTGTTACATCACAGCAGCACTGATGCTCGGTCCTAAAGGGATCAGAGAGCGAGGCGCTTTCGCAGTGATCGAGGGAGGGCATTAATGACAAATGCAAAGAGGCAGAATAAGGAGGTCAAACAGGAAAAGTCTTCTTTTATGAGAAAAATTTCTAAATGCTGCAGAACAATGTCTGTAGTCGTCTAGACGGAGAATGTCCGCCAGTATCAGTAGAAGTCTGTGAGATAAACATAGTGGGATTTTGGCGGGAGGTACTATTTTTTTTTTTTTTAGCATTCGATTGTGTACTGAAAGGATGGAAAGCCAGTCTGCATGCATGGTGGATTAGTCACGCTGAGGGGGGGGGAGGGGGTTGATGGAAAAAAGGGTTATGTAATCAAGATTACAAAACATTCCTAGCTGAGGGCCTTTCACTGCCTTTGTTTCATTGGCTGTGATGACTCTCTCTTTACACACACACACAGAGGAACATCAGGACTTCAGCCACCAATAAACTGGGGAGGCATATGAGATATTGTGTGAGATTTTGATCACACATTCTTGCCAGTCTGCTAGAGGTGTGCCTCCGTGGGACGGGAGTCATAGATGGAGGGTCAGTGATTTATGGAAATGACGCAGAGTAAGCGTATTTTATAGCCTATCGTATCAGGAATCAGGAAACATTTATTTACCAAAATAAATTTACGTAGTATCTTGGTCAACCTTCAGCCTGCTCCTTTTCTGGGCGTTGCTCTCAAAAACAGCCCGACTCCGTCCGGTCTTTTTGGAGGTGCCTGGTTGTAAACGCCCCCTCCTGCTTGATGATGTAATCTTCAGGATTTAATACTCCATTTAATTAAGACATTGTTGTTATTCAAATGGGGCAGGCCGGCTATGTTATGTTTTCCTTAAAGAAAAGAGTCCAGCTTTCACAGAGAAGGGAAAATGTTTAACTACTCAGAGTAAAGTGATCTGGATAATAGTAATTTAAATTAAATTCATCATCAAGTAATCAAGGGCTGCAGCATGTTTTTGACAGACAGAAAGTGTCTTTCCTTTTACAGTTATATTTAATTTTTTTATTTTAACATAAGTGAGAGAATTACATTAGAAAAATACAATTAACAGAATCCAGTTACTCTAACAATTACAACAGGAAACACACATTTGCACAAAATATACAATACAAAAGAACAAGATACAAATAAAATATAGAATAAATATTGTAAATAGCACAAATTCTTCATCACACAAATGTGGAAGCACACTAAATACAATCGAACTGTTTCACTATTGCACTAAGAACAGAAAACACAAACTAAATCTAAAACCTGACGTTTCTGGCCTTCCTTGATGCAAAATCATCAATAATGTCTTTGTATGAAATCTGCTCCCCTATGGAATGATTGATGCTGATGACACCAAGGCCAGTGAGCCGTTTCTGGGACATGGTTGAGCTAAGGTATGACTTGATCAACTTCAGTTTGGAAAAGCTCCTCTCTGCTTGAGCCACAGTGACTGGCAGAGTAAGTGCAATCCTGAGAGCAGTCCAAAAGTTGGGGTAGATCTCTGATAGATCCTTGTCATGCACAAAAGTGATTGGCTCAAGGAGGCTCATGGTCTTTGATGGCAGGTCAGGGAAGTTCTTAATTTCCTGCACAAGCTTTCTACTGTCCAAATCAGAGTGCCCCTTAAAGTGCAGTGCGGTGCCTAGTGCCTCGCATTGCTCTGCCAGCTCTTCATCTGCAAGACTTGGGAAATGTGTCAACACCCTGAATTTATTTCCCACATTTTCCAATGTGGAAAATCTCTCCTTCATGGCTGATGTGGCTGCATCAACGACAACATTGAACAATCCAACCTCCAACTTCATAAGTGCATCGCTGATAGGCTCATCATGTGATTCATATGAGAAGTGGCAATTTGTAGACCTCAGCCTTTTTTGTTTTGAAACAGCCTCCACATGAATTTCTTCACAAATGTCTTTGGCCGCCATCTGTGCAGTCACAAAGCCACTTGCCCTGTAGCTCTGGAGACCTTGCTCAGTCTTCTTCAAAAGACTCACAGCCAGGTCCACATGCATATCAGGAGACTGCATGAGTTTGCTGGCATGCTGTATTGAAGATAGCATGTCATACCAAACAACTGTGCAAATGCTGAAGCGGTATGACCCCACCTCCTCAGACAAAGACTGGGCCTCAGCCTTTACAGCAGGGTCTTTGGTGTGGTTTCTCACCTCAATTAAAGCCTCTCTCACGGCAGCTCCGTGGTACCTCATGGGCTCAACACTTTTGACCTTGCTCTCCCACCTTGTTTCTGCCCACATCTTTAAAGTGATGCTCCCATGCTTCTTCAGTATGGCCCATCTTTGGGTGGAGCCTGAAAATAATGTGTATAGCTTTTGCAGGACACCAAAGTAACTGATAGCATCAACAGATCTCTTGATCAGCATCACACACAACCAAATTCAATGTATGCGCGGCGCATGGCACAAACAGAGCTCTGGGATTCTTTTCTAAGAGCCTGGCTTGAACTCCCTTATTTTTGCCCCTTATGTTTGTCCCGTTGTCATATGACTGTCGTCTGCAGTCTTCAAAAGGAATTCCCAAGTCCTCAAGTTTCGTCAGGATCATGGATGCCAAGTTCTGGCCTGGGGACTCCTCTGCCTCCAAAAATCCCATAAAATGTTCCATGACATGGGGCTTCTCCATCAGTGACACCGCTCTAATGACCACTGACAACTGTTCTATGTGGCTCAGTTACTTCCATGCTTTCATTCAATTGAGGTGTTCAATACTGTTTTCATGGGATGTGAGGTAATCGCTTGCATGTTTCCAATTTGCCATCCCTGCTGCACTTAAATGAATGTTCCTCTTGGAAAACAATTTGCAGCAGAAGCAAAAGAGGCTGTTGTTCGTGATTGAATAAATCAGCCAACTTCTTGCCATCTTTTCACCACTTACTAATGTCTTCATAAAATATTGGTGGTGGCAACATCTCCCATCACTCTTATTTCTACGGAAAACAAAGCCAGGTGGAACCTTACTTGGTCCTCTGTGAACCAGCTCAGTCCGAATACTGTCAGTCAGATGTGAGGGCCAGTTAGCAGGGTCGGTTGAGAGAGGCTCATCCTCAACAGTGGGGCTCAGTGGGAGTTCAGCTCCATGCATTTCTATCAAGTTAAAGTTCAAGTTCAATTTTATTTATATAACACATTTAAAAACAACCTCGGTTGACCAAAGTGCTTAACAAGCTCGAAAAGCAGCGATACAATAAAACACAGACAGAGCACAATACAAAATATCTGACAGTAGAGAAGAATAAAGTCAAAATATCAAAGCTCAACTTGAATTAAAAGCCAATGAATAATAGTGGGTCTTAAGCAGGGACTTAACGTTGTAATGGTCCGAGCTGTTCTTACATGGATAGGTAAACTATTCCAGAGGTTTGGAGCAGCCACTGAAAAGGCTCGGTCACCTCTGGATTTTAACCGGGATCCAGGCACACCGAGGAGCATCTGATTAGACGACCTCAGTGCTTTGATAGGTGTGTGGACATGTAAGAGCTCCGACAAGTAGGAAGGCGACAACCCATTTAAAATTTTAAAAACAATAAATACAATTTTAAATTCAATCCTGAAACAAACAGGAAGCCAGTGGAGGGTGGCCAAAGCCGGTGTAATGTGGTCGCGTTTTTTAGTCCTGGTCAAAAGTCGAGCTGCTGCGTTCTGGACTAACTGCAAGCGACGAAGGGATGACTGATCCAACCCAACATACAGTGAATTGCAGTAGTCTAAGCGGGACGTAATGAATGCATATATGACTCTCTCAAAGTCTTTGCGTAGCAGGTAGGGCTTGACTTTAGCCAGGAGTCTCAGCTGGAAGAAGCTAGTTTTGACAACAGAACTAATCTGTTTGTCAAGTTTAAAAGCACGATCAAAAATCACTCCCAGATTTCTGGTAAAAGGACGAATTTGGGAGCCTAAAATACTCAGAGTATCTAAACAGGCACTGAGATGTTCAGTACGTCCAAACACAACAACCTCGGTCTTATTGTCATTAAGACAGAGAAAATTCTGATCCATCCATACTTTGAGATCACTCAAGCAGTTTAACAGCGGCTTGATAGTGTCCCTCTTATTGTTTTTTACAGGCAAGTAAATTTGTACATCATCAGCAAAACAATGGAAAGAGATGTTGTGTTTTTTTTTTTAAATGGACCCTAAGGGCAGCATATACAGAGAAAATAGCATTGGTCCCAAAATGGAACCTTGGGGGACCCCACAGGACAGAGGGGCAACAGATGAAGAGCAGTTACCAATATGG